GCCTTGACATGCCGTAACAAGAACGAAACAAGCAAAACTCTTTTAAACCCACCCCTGCTACGACTGGTTTTGGGAACCCCATGTAGTATATGCAGTATATGACGTTTGCTCTTTTGTTCGGGTTCCTCTGCTAAGCCTGTGTTTCGCACTGGTCAAATCATTTAAAAGTGGCCCACACGCCTGTTTCGCATTGGTCAAGGCAATTTAAAGCGCTCCACACAAGCTTGCAGCAGAGTCTGCAACCGTTGCCATGCCCAAGGAAGAACGCACCGTGCCTGCGCCTGCTGGGGCTGTGCATCCTCCTGCGCCTCAACGGAGTGGCGGCCCCTGACAGTGGCAAACGGTTGACTTGACATGAGCTCGGCATGCGGCTGCTTGCAGTGCTTCACGGTGCTTGGCTTCGAAGCTGGAGCCGCGTGTGCTCTCGATGTTTTTGTGATGTGGGGTCTGCGAGCCCTGGTTTGCCGATCCCGAGTTCTTGCCGGACAACCGAATCCATCGGCCCTCATGGTGAGAACTCACTGAGAAGCCAACACGCTCTTCCAGGCGAGGGCGCCCTCCACGGAAGAGGTAAGGGTCGAGAGCATCCTCTGTGTCCTGCAGTGGAGGGCAATTTCAGCTGGTTCCTATTTCTGTGCCGCTCAGGCGAAAGCAGTACTGGACAGCTTATCGCCCGGAGGCAAGTCAATTCCGGATGCAAGTTGAAACAAAAACGGCTCCTGCTCCTCTTGGCACGTCTGCTCCGTCACGGAGCAGCACAGAAACAGCCACCAAAACGCCATGGCAGCGATTCGTTAAGGTAAGCGGAGCCGATACGCTGCAGTCAGCTTCAGTTCCTCTGCGTCCATGAGGACAGGCACCGAAGCATGTCTGGCAAATTCTGGCAACACAGGAAATATGGGCAGAGAGAGACACAGAGAGAGAGAGAGAGAGAGAGCAACAGACCTCATTTTTCGCATGCGTGCGCGCGCAAGTGGTGATGGGGTGGCTGCTGATGGGTCCGCTGCCACTCGGTCGTACGCTGCTAGGCAGACATAACTTTGTGTCGCCTAGTGAAAGAGGCTGGCAGATCTCCTGCCCCGCGCCGAAGTGCTCACAGTCGCTAGTGGGACATTGCAAAAGACCCCACGGTTTTCGCAGGACAGTCGCTTCGTCACCGTGGTCGGCTCCTGAGTCAGAGATCAGGCGCCGGGTGTATTGCGCTGAAACGCCATGACCAGGACCAACGAAAAGTCCTAAAATACAGCATGATGGCGCTACTGGGAAATGAACAAGACACCGCGCCTGCACCTGCTGGAGCTGTGCATCCTCCAGCGCGTCAACGAACTGCAGGCCCCTGCAGTGGCAATTGCTCACGTTGGCGCCGTGCGCTGTCGATATTCTTGTGATGTGGGGTCTGGGAGCCCTGGTTTGCCGATCTTGCACAATGTTGCCGGACAGATGAAGGCTTAGGCCCTCATGGTGAGAACCCACTGAGAAGCCAACACGCTCTTCCAAGCGGGGGCGCCCTCCACGGAACAGATATGGATCGAGGACATCCTCTGTGTCCTGCAGTCGAGAGTGGTTTCAGCTGGTTCCTACTGGTGCCACTCCGTGCTTGCAAAACACAAATCTTATTGTCAGTCAGTTCCGGATGCAAGTACAACAAGAAGCGGCCTGGCTCCAAAATGTCAGTGCAACGCTTGCCCCTCATCCCCTGCCCCACCCATTTCCACCCCTTCGGCACATTGAAAGACACGATGCCTGCGGCAGCGGGCGGCCAATCGCATGGCACAGCCTCAATGGAACGAAGAAGAAAGCTTCTAAGCATTTGCGCAAGCATCATCTGACATGAGTGTAACGGACGGTCATGCAATAAGGCGATTATGGTGACCATGTGTGGTTGAAAACGAATTGTCAACAAATTGTCGATTGCATTCTGTCGCCTACTGTAGGGCCTACGTGTTTCGGAGTTTTCCACCTATATACCTTCCAAGGCAGCTGCAGCTGCGCGGCGTAGTTGTTCGGTAGACATGGCCGTCTTTGCGGCCGTGTCCTTGGCCACCGCAAGCGCTCAGGCGCAACTCTGGCCACACCTATCCATGCCCATTCGTCGCTTCCGCGCAACACTCCCAGGAAGATGCCGGGAGACCTCGCCTGCGCTCCTCGCGCGGGCTGCGTGAACGCGGCATTTGATCCGCCTATTCGGCGGTCAAGTTACCGTCACTGTCACACGCACAACCGACCTCAGACTTGAGCCGAGTGCAACATCAAACAGACACACGTATGCTGGAACGCAGGCAGCATGCCAGACTGCACATGTCGCATTGAATTTAAACATGTGCGCACACACACAGAGAAAAACGCTTCACTGAAATTGGCTTCTGGGGATCATGCTGTAGCATGCAATGAACGGCGAGTATATGTTAAGTGCAAACTACGTCACAGTATCTCAAAAGCGTCCTCTTCCTTTTCCTGAAGTGCCGCGAGCTTCGTAGGGCACAAAATCAAGCCCAGACTTGCGAGAATCCAGTGGCAGGAAGATTGGCATTCCTCACGTGTTTGGAGTCTTCCGACAATCTTCCCATACTTACCTCAAACACATACGACGATGGGTGCACTTTGGCTTTCAGCATCGACGTATCACGGCCAAGACACATGTCCTAAACCGACATGTGCGAAGCGGCACCGAGAGCTCAGATCACGTGTAGTTGTGTGCTTCCACACTTGTTCGTTCGGTGTCATCTTCCATATTGAGCTTGGCCAGTAATAGCATTTGGAGACCATGACTCGATTGCTCTCCGATGACAGGACCAAAAGAAGATACGCGTCCCCCGAAACGGGTGTGTGTGCGTGGGTGCTCAAGGGCATGGTATCCCACTGCCAAACTTGAGGTATCCCAACCACCACAGTTGTACCTGTCCCACCCTCCAGATTTCTGGCGCTCCAACTCGGTTCTTTGCCTGAGAGGCCACCAAACTTGAGGTATCCCAACCGTTTTCTTGTCTGAGAGGCCACCCGACTTGAGGTATCCCAACCGGAATCTTGCCCGAGAGGCCACCAAACTTGAGGTATCCCAACCGGCTTCAGAATCTACATCATAGAAATCGTCCTATCAAACCATCGCGCACCATGCAGAATGACATGAAAGACATCTTCAGACATCTTCGATACACACATTATTGGTTTGCTTGATTGAGATTTTATGCCGCTCACGCATACGCCTCCAGGAGAACACTCACTGACTGATGCTCCGGGTGCCGCTCCTATTGGAAGGGCTGCTTCGCAGCCCCCGTGGACAGGAAGCCATTGGCCATTGTCTTCAAGACGCTACATAGTCACGATGAGTCACTGGACTAGCCCACCGGTAAGATGAGACTCGTGACATCGTCCTGAGTTGCCCCACTTCCCACTCAAGATAGTCGCGTCACCTCGAAAGCCACTGAGGAGCCGGCATGGTAGCCCCCGCCTCAGCCAAAGGTGCCACATGGTGTTTTACTCTACAATGGGCCTCTGATGGTAGCGCAGCATGCGCAGCTACTTCCATGAAGTGAGGCTGCAGGCGCTACCATGCTCTACACCAGGCACCCTGCCGGTCAGCTCTGTCCAGCCGTCGAAGGCAGCCGACTGCAGCTTAGCTGTGTCAGCCTTGGGGGGCTTCTGGAGCTGACTTACAGCACTTCTCCTTGCGAAAGGCATCTCGAAACCCTTACACCTTCCGAACATGGCAAGGGGCATCTGCAACCAGACGGGGGAGCTGATCCAAGCCGATCACCTCCCAAATGCCTCAAAGCATCTCAAATTCTACTATACGCTTTCAGCGGGCTTCCGAAAGCAGAACTCCCTCGAACTGACATTCAGATGGAGTGGCCATCGCTGGCCAGGACGACTTTGGCCTCGCGCAGCTCTGCAAAAGAAGGTGCCGCGAGGTCGCAGGACATGCGCCTCCTTTCCCTTACCCACGCTGTGCTGGTGGACCTGTATCGTGAGGCGTCGGAAGCAACCATACAGGACGCAATGAGTTGTGATGAGTGGTGAGAGTTGTGCAATGCTGAGCTCTGACTGGCTGGCCTCCGGCGTCGAGATGACTCCGCAGCGCTTAGCAGCAGTGCCCCCCAAAGCGCGGGTCATGGCAAGGCCAGGCCCGCTCTTGTCTCGCTCGCAGACCCGAGCCACGTCCTCCGATAAGATATCTCTTTTTGGGTTATTTTGTTGGGACATCTCTGCATCTTCCGCGCTGCAGCCAAGGGGCATTCACCGCGGTGCGCACCTCACCACCAGCACGCTCTACGCGCGCCCTCTCCTGGCCCCAAGTCGGCAACAGGACTTTCACTGTGGGACTGCCCCACGAGAGACACGCAAGGCCTGGGGACAAGAGGGCTTGTGATCCGAAGTGGCGAAAACCACCACATCGTCCTGAGAGAATTCAGAGACAACGCCAGTGCACAGCAGCTCAATCATTGTTATTGAGGCGTTGCTGTGACATTGCTGTGCTCGCATCTAGCCGCGCCGCTTCCACAAGGACGCACCGGCTGTCACCCGCATTTGCGGTCCACAGTGCTGCGCCCTTCCACAGGGCTGCCACCGCCTATGGCGTGTCTTGAAGCATGCAATCGGCAGGGGTGACATGGGAATCGTTCACAAAACCCATATACACTTTCAAACCTACACTTGGGCTGGAGGCTGTGGCTGTGCAGCCAATTTGCTGTGCAGCCGCTGTCTTGGTACGTTTTCAAATCCAGATCCGCCTGCGTCTCGAGATTCCGTCACAGGTGCCCATACATGACCAAAGATGCAAAAGTTGCACAGCAGTTGCGCGAGCGACCCCGGCCCAAGCACCCCAAGCTCGGCCTTCTCAAAGGCTTCGATCAACGCCTCGCGAGCCGTCAAGGGCCGCAGCCGATGAGCAATGGAGCTGAAGGAGGGACTGGCTTACCCGCCGTTACCCGTTGCGCAAGAAACTCTCAGAAGTGCTGTCCATCATCACTATCCAAGCATATCCAAGCCAAGAGAACCCGACGCTACATTGCCGCCCTCAGTCGGGCCTTCTCAACCGCGGCCTCCTCGTTCAGGCCGAGCTGGAGGAGAAGGAAAGGGATGGTTTGGACCGCCCGTGTGGCAGCCTGGTGGCCTGAAAGCATGAGTTCAGCGGCTTCAGCGCCTTCCTCGCGGATGAGTGATGACGAGTGGCCCTTCTTGCCGTGGCCATCGCAGACCAGTGCGAGCGTGTGCCCACTCGGGAAGCGTGTAATGGAGAAGTTGTCTTGGTTCGGTGTGTCTTTCACCGCTGCCTGCGCACTGCAAAGGAGGAGGCCAACAGCATGACGGATCATGACAGCATGGCAGCCAAGCACAGTTTCTGTGGACAGACGATCTGGCGGTGCCTTCTTCCCCTTCCTCGGCAATTGGACGATTACTCGGGGGGGAATCTGTCAGATCCTACGGTCCGAACGCCTCACCAGACACGCAACTGTTTCTGAACTGCTTCCAAGGGTCTGACACGCGATCATGTCAGGGGCTAAATTGCCTGCATCCCCAAAGGATGCCCAGGTCCGCTCATCGCGAGGAGCCTGGTTCTTAGTCATGGCCCCGCGGCAATAGAAGGCCACCTGCCGCTACACACAAGTTCTTCTGCAAAACCATGACATAACACCTCCGGACATTTTGCGCGAGTGCAGCACAAGCACCTGTGGGGTCAGTTCATTGATAGAGGCCCTGAAGCCACAACATGCTTTGGGCCTGCTTCTCGAAGGCCTCGTCCAACAGCTCTTGTGTGATGGCCTGACGGTGGGGCTACGGTGGGTTCCCTACATTACATTCCCCTTCGTCCAGGATACTAAAGACACACACACACACACACACTTACTTGCTGCCCCTGCTATGTGCTGCTATGTGCCGCTCAATGCGCCTCTTCTGCTGATGCCGGCTGCTTCGACGGGGGGCCTTGTGCAGGCGTGTCCTCAGGGCAAGTGTGTGGAGGGAGGAAAGTGGTACCGTGCTCATGCGCGTGCCCACAACGAAGCAGCCCAGGGCCGCGGCGACCGGGCTTCCCTTGTCGTCTGTCCTCGCTCTGACAGGAAGACCGGTTGCATTTTTCGGTCAGTCAAGACCACAACGCAGTTAATTTAAAACACTCAGCCAAGAAGCGGCCTCTACACTCTACACATCCATACTTCGAGGGTCGGGCCCCTGCAATTGTGGTGCTGGCCGACGGAGAAGGACCACGCTCTCTGGCGAGGGGGATGCCGGGCTGGTGGCGGCTGTCCCGACCTCAAAAGCGGGTTTACGAAAATGGGGAACCCTGAAATAGACACCCCCCAAATAGAAAAAATCCACAATAATAAGGACCCCAATAAGGAACCCGAATTCCGGAAACCCCGAAAATGGAGGAACGACGCAGTAACAAGAACCCGATTGAAGCCCAATCGGTTCTGTCGTGCCTCGGCGACCTCAGGCGCCTTGTCGCGCCCCAGGCAGCAAGAGCTGAAGGAGCTGCCCATGTCTACCACAAGCTCGATCTTGCAAAGTGGATCCCCTACAATGGGAAGCCCATGGAATCGGCCCTGGACAGCCTGCAGCTTTCATTGTGGCAATGCACAGAAAACGATACTTTTGTAGTGTCAATCTTCGCTGGTAGCCACGAGGTGGTGCAAGCAGGGGAAATTGCGAGGCATCTGGAGATGTTGGGCGCATGGCTGAGAAATCCACGTGGCAGATTTACCCCCCTTTCTTGTAACGAAGTGAAGCCTCTTCGGGCAAGCTTTGGGCTGAAGGGCTAGGGTTGCCTTCTTCCCCTAACAAACTCTAGTCGTCCTGGGTGCTCCCGAAGCCCTCCCAGGTACAGCACGGGAGCCTCACGGGGGATGGAGGGGCGAAAGCTGACTCGGAGAGTATTCTGTTCATGCAGTCTTCAGACTCAGACCATAAACGAGAATCGCGTGCTACCATGCCCTGGCTAGAAGTCCATGCTACGCGCGATCGAAATGGCGTGCTTGTGGATGGTCGAGTGGTTCTGGGGAAGTGAAACAGGAGGGAGCAAAATGATCAGCAGCGTGCTTTCGATTTACGAGGCTTCCAGCTATGGCTTAAACAGAGATCTGAGAGATGTGTAGCCGCTGGCTATAGGTCGAACATCTCAACGCTGCAAGACACCATGCAATTTTTACGTCCCTTGGGGGAGCTTCTGAAACATGGAACGAAGTGAAACTTTGGCACTCCAACATGTTGGGCGCAACTGAAAGCAACCACCGTAGATGTACAGCCGACAGGAAGCCATGGATCAATGCACTGGCTGCATGCCGAGTGATCTCGATGTCAGTCTCGCCTTGGCGCGACAATAGCCGACAGATCAGCTGCGTGGTGCATGGGGTCTGCTGGCTGAGGATCAGGCTCAAGTCGGCGCCTCAGTACATCATGATAATCTTGTTTGTGGGCCCAATTGTCTGCTCATCGTTACTTAAGACTGAAGAAGTTAGCCGAATCTTCCTTGGGAACCAGCAATCGACGGGCCAAGGGCAATAAATGTACCTGGATTACTATTGCTCTCCTCTTGCTCCACATCTCCTAAAGCACTCCAGGCCTCAAACAAAGCAGCTGCGGATTCCGTGTCTTTCAGATCCGCAAACTGCCTCTCATGCACTCGCGATACAACTTGTCGCAAACCGAATACTTTACAGAGCCTCACATACAAGAAATTGCCCCTTGCACATCTCCTGACCTGCGAGCAGTTTCAACGAGCAGCTCCACAAAGAGCTCGAATGCCTGTGTTGCGACACGTGCACGCAGCGCCCCACACGAAAGCATGGGTCGAGCGGCTTCTCAGCTTGGATGCGTGCCAGCGCCGGCTCTCCGGAGTCTGCCGGACTCCCGAAGCGCTCCGCCGTTTCAGTGAAAATGGCCTTCAAAACCGGTGCACAGGTGCACACATCGGCGTGACAACGTCTGTGATACAATTGCCCCTTGCACATCATTGCACCTCCAGCTCTCCCTGAGAAAGACGAAGCTGCGAGGCATGCGCCATACGCAGGTAGTCCTTCTCTGCTGGTCATGGTTCCTATACCTCATCCCCAGCCTCTACACACAACAAGCGGGCCGTGCCAGGACGTGCAACGTGGTGACTTTTTAAGTTCGCATCGATTGCTTCTCCAACTGATGCCATCTCGAAATGTCAGCGACACTGCTACAGTGCTACACTCATGAGCAAACATGAGGCAGCTGCAACGACATGGGAAATCATTGCAGTCCTCGGAAGCTGCGCATGAGCTCTAAAGTCTAAAAATCGTACATTGCCTTTGTCCAGCCTTATGGCTCGCTCGGGACAATGCCTCGTTCTAGAATGTCTTTCAAGGCCTGATCATGCTCAGCACAAGCAGCGCAAGGCATCTGCATGCATCCTTCAGCGTGCGGGTGTGCCTTGCAGATGTCATCTTCCAACTGGTTCTGCACCTCTTTGTAAAGCCTCAAGTTGAGATTTCAAGCAGTGTGGGAGCTCGCACGGTTGCGAACCGATACGAGCTCTTCAGAATACCCATCAATCTCCATTTCGCTGGATCTGCTCATCTGTCTCCAAGCAGCTCAGATCTGTGAATCGTCGCCAGAACCTGCGCTATGAGGATGAGAAGGGAAGCATGAAGCACTTCATCGAAATCCTAAGCATGTCGCGGCACCTCGGCAATATCTCGCTGGTAGGGCCGCAGCTTTCCAAACTTGGCGGCAAATTTGAGGAAATCCTCACCACACTTAGTTGCATCGGAAAGAGGTGGTTTCTGCAGTTGCCGATGTCCTTTAAGGTCTGTCCGGCTGGAGCATGTGCGTAGTTGGTACGCGGGCGTGCTGGTTCACCTGCGCTCGCCCTGGCAGGTGAGCTTGTTGGTGCTTGGCCAGGCCGAACACGGGGTGCAGGGCTTAGGGTTTGGCAGTTTGCAGTGCCTGGCAAGCTTCTTTGCCTTCTTCCACGTCTCCTCACATCGCGGAGGTTAAACTGCAAAAGCATTTTTGTGGCCCTGGTGCCCGCGTGCTGCAAATGCCTGCCTCCCCCTTCTGTTCGAGATCAACTCGCTCCTGGCTGGCAGCAGGCAAATCAACATGACAATAAGTTGACCATAAGCTTTCGACCTGAACCCTAATGACCCCAAAACCCTAAACGTCCCAAGCATGGTCGTGCCAAGTCTCCAGCGGCCACGGTTCGATTTGCCGAAGTCTCTCGGCCATGGAGATTGCACGAAGTTCATGGCCACCGGTAGTGCCTGCAGTCTCAAGTCTGCCCGAAGCAAGGGAGAAGCGCCGTGCAGTTTTGTCTTGTCGCCCCCCACTCCTAGTATTCAGAGAGCTCCAACACACTTCCAGTACTGCAGACGGAGTTTGTCTCCACAGGGTCTACGCCAAGTAGCGGCTTCTGGCTCCATCGCTGACCGCGAGGTGATGTGGTCTCTTGGGCTGCAGCCTCTTGGAGGACTGCGAGAGCTGCCTGAAACCTCAGCTCTAGGATCATTGAAGCAGTGTTTAGGATGCAGCTAGGCTGAACATCACTTCTGTGTCTAGCACGGCGGATATCGAATGCCCTGCCTTGACATGTTGGCACGTCTATTTGAGGGACATGTTTGTTTCGGGTGCGCCAATCACCGTCTGATGGCCGATGTCGATCTACATGGCCCATCATCTTCTAGTTTAGCCGCCTATCCGCAGATGCTTCTGTCCCAGGCAACGCGTCGGTCATCAAGGCACAACAACAGGTCATGTTTCTTGCCGCCGCTTTGCGCTGCAGATTCTCTTCTTTGGATAATGCATGATGCCATCCAGCACATGCAGCAAGTTCCTTGGGTTGACAGGCTGATTGGTCAATGTCTATTCGGAGGCCTTCTGGCATTCTGGGTAACTGTAACCCTGTTTAACGCTAGTTGACCTGAATCTGCTTGAACGATCCCTGTCGTAGGGGTCTACACAGCATCCGATATCGGCAAAGGCACGTTCAGAACTTCTTGCACTGTGCTGCGATGAATATTCCTGGAAGCAGCAAACTCCAGCAAGAAATCAATGACAATGTCTTTCTCCGCCAAATTATCCAGCATTCTCTTGAGAGGTTTGCCTCGCAGTTTCAAGACTGATTTGCAGAAGCCGAAATACGCCTCCTCCCCATCCCGACTGATTGGACTTCCTGGGTGTCCACATCTCACCAGCCGGCCATGATGCTCGCAGAGTTCCCTCAACTCTTCCGGAAAGGGCTCGTCTTCTCGCGCGCTTAGCAGGGAAGCATGCCGAGGAACACCCTGCCGGTCGTCTGTATCGTCAGAGTCCGATGGGAGCTCCAGCTCTGACGATGAACCGAGAGAATAAAACTCGGTCCTCGGTGCTTCTGGCACGGGCGGATCGGCATCGCTTGTCTGCACGCCTCTGTCGCACACAGGTACCTCTCCGGGATCAGAGTCGGGTGAAGCTGCATAATGAATCTCAGGGTTTCGGCTGTGCTGAGACGCCCTTGCGTGCGAGTGCGAAGAGTGCGAATGCCCCCCGACCTGCACATCGGCTCCATCACACATGGTCGACTTTGCCAGTAAGAACTTGGCTGTCATAGGATCCAGGTCGTACACATGTGCGTTGATCATACCTACTTTTGCTTCCTTCAAAGCCCACAGCCGCCGATTGTTCAACGAATAATAGCTACCACCATGACGGACAACCTTGAGACGCATACGTGGGTGTTTCCGCGGGTCCACGTCTCCTTGCAAGATGTCCTCCACCAGAGTGTCGATCTTTTGGCCTGCGTGTTTTCCATGGCAGAAGGTTCTCGCAATCCGATCGTGCGTATACTTGATAGACTCAACAGGCAGCTCCTCCACGCGATCCCCTATTCTCCGCGGCTCATCTCTCTCAAATATCATCGGGCCATTCGTTTCCCTGAAGATCTGTGTCAAGGTTGAGCGGAGGGCATCTCCAGTGAGGGCTTGAACATCATGCCCGCCAGCTTTTCTGACGCGGCTCGGTTGAGTGACGATGACGTCGCCCTCGTCCTCATGCGTGTGCTCGTAACTCTGCAGGACGAGGGCTGCATCATCTGCATCAGACTGCTCGTGAGTCACGAAGCTGCCATGAGCATCATCCTCATGCGTGTCGGTGTGCTCGTGACTCTGCAGGACCAGGGCTGCATCATCTGCATCGCACTGCTCGTGAGTCACAAAGCTGCCATGAGCATCACAACCACTTTCAGCGTCACCTTGCCTGCGGGGAGAAACGGCTGCCTGGTCGGCTTCTGCTGCACTGGCTTGGCTTGGGTCCCCATCGGCTGGGCCTTCCACGAGGCTATCGTCAGCGTCATGGCAGCTCCTGCTATCGACTTCATCGGGGCCTCCGGCACTGCCTCCGTCTACATCTGTGCCGCCTCCGAAGTTCGGGCTTGGAGGCGCAGTAGCTGCACTCGGGACCTGCGCAGGTTTGTGGTCCACACACCCCAACAAAGGGTGATAATGGGTGATACTATGTAGCAAGGTTGGAGGTTGGTGGGATGACATTCTTGAATCGGGGCACCCGGGGCTTCTGGGCTCATCGGGCTCATGAGCTCATAGGGCTCACATGAAATTTAAGGCTGAGATAGTCTTGGTTGGAGAGGTTTACATGGCTTGGAGAGGGTCGCAGCTCGCACGAACCAGGCCAGGCATGATGGTCTGCACTTGCTTTTCAGCTAGGGTTTAGAGGTTTTGGGTTCACGATGTCCCTAAGCATAAGCTCAGATAACTCCATTCTGGCCTGGTCATGAAGTCCAGCTTGATTTTCTGCAGCTTGATGGATGATATTCTTGTTGATTCCAGAAAGACTTGCAGGACCATTTGTCCTGCTCTCATCTGCGGCTTGGTGCTGGCCGCCATGGTGATGCCACGTGCAGCCTTCGAACGAAGGATTGCTCGCATGTCTTCGCGCAGGCTGCACAAGGGGCTGCGCAGGACGCAGGAGGGGGCGTTCAGCCTGGGAGGACAACTGAGCAAGCTGTGGCGGGGGAGCCTTTGGCGCAGGAGGTTGTGCCAGGTGTCGGTCCGGCTCACTTGCTTGCCGGTCGGTCAGACTTGTTGAATCTGCATCCACACTATCGGCGTAGCGAGACAAGCTTGGACTGCGTCCTGGGAAGGTTGCTGACCCGGAGCTGCTTGACGTCGTTTCTGGCAGTGGAGCTGCTGGGCACGCCGAGGGAGGATTTACGGAAGTGCTGGCGTGTGGTTGGTGGCTTCGTAGCTGTGGAGCTTCCGGCCTGAGCGTCTTGTTGGGGCCGTCGCGCCGTGGAGGCTGCAGCGGCGGCTGGGCAGGGCGTGCGAGCGTTTGTTGAAGCTGAGCAAGCTGTGGCGGCGGAGCCTTTGGTGTGGGAGGTTGTGCCAGGCGTCCCTCCGGCTCACTGGCTTGCCGGTCGGTTAGGCTTGTTGAATCTGCATCCACACTATGAGCGTAGCCAAACAGGCTTGGACTGCGTCCTGAGAAGGCTGCTGAGCCGGAGCTGCTTGACGTCCTTTCTGGCAGTGGAGCTGCTGGGCACACCGAGGGATGATTTGCGGAGGTGCTAGTGTGTGGTTGGTGGCTTCGTAGCTGTGGAGCTTCCGGCCTGTCGGGGCCATCGCGCCGTGGAGGCTGCAGCGGCGGATGGGCAGGGCGAGGAGCAAGCTGTGGCGGCGGAGCCTTTGGTGCGGGAGGTTGTGTCAGGTGTGGATCTGCTGGGCACGCCGAGGGATGATTTCCGGAGGTGCTGGCATTTGGTTGGTGGCTTCGTAGCTGTGGAGCTTCCGGGCTGAGCGTCAGCTTGTCGGGGCCATCGCGCCGTGGAGGGTGTGCGAGCGTTCTTTCAAGCTGAGCAAGCTGCGGCGGTGGAGCCTTTGGTGCGGGAGGTTGTGTCAGGTGTCGGTCCGGCTCACTGGCTTGCCGGTCTGTCAGGTTTGTTGAATCTGCATCCACGCTTGGACTGCGTCCTGGGCAGGCTGCTGAGCCGGAGCTGCTTGACGTCGCTTGTGGGAGTGGAGCTGCTGAGCATGCCGAGGGAGGATCAGCAGAGGCGTCGGCATGTGGTTGTTGGCTTCGTTGCTGTGCAGCTTCTGGTCCTGGCGTCGGCTGGGGAGGGCGTGGGAAGGCTTGAGGAAGCACCGGTGGAGGTGGCTTCGCCTTGGGGGGCGTTATGGGGGTTGGGGGCAGCGGTGCCTTTGGGCCATAGGAGACTGGGTCTCCACGAGGTGTGGGCCAGCTTGCTTGAAACAGCGGCTCAGAGCCTTCAATTCTTTCCGTGGCTTCGGAGGGAGCCGGTCTGGACTCCATGGCAGCTGCAGCAAAGTCGTCGGCCATGGGGTGGCCCTTGTCAAGGCCTTCGGAGACGTTGCCGCTGGTCTGAGAAGTCGTAGGCTCTGGCTTCGGCTCGTGTCTCGCCTGTGCCGGGCTTGTTGGTGCAATGTTCGAGGTTCTGCATCGGGAAGCATCTGCACTCAAGCAAGCGAAAAAAAAGCGATGGCATGCCTCTGGCTCGAAGAAAGCATCTGGGAACCAGCCTGCCCAGGTCACGGTGATGCCTTGTGAAGCACGGGATGGCTTGCCACTAAGTGCCTTCATCACCCAGGAGTGTTCTGCCCCAGCTCCAGCCATCTTGTCCATGCCCTACAGGGTCTTTAAAGCAGCAAAACGTCGCAGATTCGCAGAGTGGAGTGCCGTCTTTCGCGCGTGCTTGCTTGTCACTGAGATGGGGGCCAACGTGAAACACATACTCGCCCTTTTGCAAGTTCAGATACCTGACAAAGAGCCGGAGACCGTTGTGCCAACAGGTTCACGGGCGCAGAACACATAGTCACCCGACTCTGCATCCGTGTTGCGCTTGACCGTCAGAAGATCCACCATCAAAGCCCCATCCTTCTGTGTGCGTAGTTTCACTGACGATTGATCAACAGATTCGTGAGCCCCTGGCCATTGAAGTCACAGGTTGCCCTTCCCACCTGGATGCCAGGCAACAGATGATCTGCACACATGTGCACTTTCCGATGCGAGAAGGGCTGAGCTGATTCCCTGTTGCACTGTCAGGTTGTGCACCATGCAGCCAAGACACCACGCCGGAAGATTCAGACTTTGGCTTATCACCTCCGTACACGGTCTCCTCCGGTGCATGGTCCTCATGCCCATCGTGCCACCATGTCTGAGTGGCATCCTCAGGTCAGCAGGAGTGGTTCGCACACTTCGCATGCAGTGCGGATGCCCCTATTGACTGTACCTTCCTGAAACTGCGGTTGCTGCAAAGTCTCAAACTCCTCTCTCCACCGTTGGGCCCAGTGCCTGCGACATGTTTCTGCCTCCTCCACATCCTGCCAAGATCAGAGGCAATCACGTTCAAGGTTCGGGCATGAGTCCTGAAAAGACACATCCAGCACAGGGAGCGAGAACCACAAAGTCATCAGGCAAACTGGAGAACGGGAGCATATGACTGGTCCACGTGCAAGATGAAGGGATATGAAATGTATGATACTACCATGTGTTGTAGGCCTCTCAAGCAAACAGTTGTTCAGGTGCGGAGGGAGGAAGTCATCATTGCCACGTTCGTCATTCTTTCTCATCCCATCCTTGTAGGCAGGCCTGCGAACCATACCTCTACCGTACGCTGACAGTCCTTCCAGGAAATTTCCATCGGGAATGATGCACGGACGTTCGGGATGGTGTGCTTCCTGAACATGACAGGTTGACAATGTCCACCCACATCACAGACCAAACAGCACGTAACTGCCACGAACGGGCTCCTCGTCGAGCGGATCCAAACTTCCTGATCCGGCCCTGGCTTTATCTCAAACCTGGCTGTGTGAAAGATGTGAAAGCACTGACAGTACAGTGGAAACGAAAGTCGTTGCGCAATAGTGCTGGGGACTGTCTGCGGCGCAGGCCTCGGGAAATCATCCTTGTGTAAGCTGGTACGGACGACTTCATGGATCTCTCGCTCGGTGACCTGGCACAAACAAAGCCGCAACGTGGCAGTCGCCGCTATGACCTGACCAGCTTCTTCGCAGACCGAGTGCAGGACGGACTTGAACCGCAGAAGTCGCGAGTCCAAGACATCCCGCAGGCGCGCAAAACCACCTGATCAAGGCAGCAGAAGCTCAAGACGTTCAAGGGCTGCACTGTGAAGCACGTCTCCACCTGGCGTGAGATACAGGCCCTCTCGTTGCGCAGCGTGTCGGAGGACTGCGCTCAGTGCCTGAAATCAGTTGGGGAGGGGGCCAGGATCCTAGTTGGATTCAAGTCATCCTGCCTTGGATAGCTTATCGAAGTGACGTTGTGTGGCGTATAGATCTCTGCTTGCCATGGCTACATCTTCGCGTTGTCTTTTACCATCTTTGTTTGTCAGCAGCATGCATCGACGGCAAAGATGCGCCAGCTTTGTGTGCCTGACGCGCTCCATCTCAATGAATGGAATAACTTAGTCCTCTGAGGCAGACAGAGCATGCCAGAGCCGAAGTCCTCTCTACACTGTGAGCCATGAACTAACGGCCAAGCAAGAACACACACTCGCACGAAGATACTCAAAAGGAATTCTCAAAGCCCGCTCGAATGCGCCCTCCTGCAGGCCCAACGCAACACGCCCGGCGCGGCCGCCGCCGGGCTTGGCCACAGACCCAGCCTCGACCCATGAAATCCACATAAACCCTGGTTTAGGGTTTAGGGTTTAGGGTTTGGGGTTTGGGGTTTGGGGTTTAGGGTTTAGGGTCTGGGGTTTGGGGTCTAGGGTTTAGGGTCTGCATTGTTCCACGCAACAGAGCAAGACATGCTTGACGGGATTGAGACTGCTTTCAAAAACACCTGGGTGGTGCACGGCGCGACTGGCAAAAGCGTGGAACAGCTGTTTCATGGCCTGGGGGCAGAGGTTTTGAATACAGGGTGCACATGATCCCCTATGATCCCCTATGATCCCCTATGATCCCCTATGATCCCCTATGATCCCCTATGATCCCCTATGATCCCCTATGATCCCCTATGATACCCTATGATACCCTTAGCGCCATCTGACTTCTTGAGCCCTGCCTGCCCGAGCTCCTCCGTCGTTGCCATGCCAGAAGCTCCAACAGGAGAAGCCATCTGTCAGCAATTTCAGTCAGGTCTGCTGGAAGATGCTGGAAGTTTCTGATGCTGTGGTCAAGCCTCCTTCTTTATGTCCACGGGCATCGAGCCGCGCGCTCGATCTGCACCAGCGCGCAGAAAGTCTCAACTCAAGAAAACAAAGAAACTTCCGCCTGTGGGAGACATCGCTGGACTCATCTTTGGCCCGTTGGTCTGGCCGCCTGCATCGCAGCTGTTATGACCCCCACTTCCGCCCCACTGCCTGCTGAGGCCATGTGGCCTCCCAATGCGATGCTGGGAGGTGGTGCAGGTGGAGGTGGAGGCCTGTAGTTCTTGCGGAAAGTGACCCGAGTTCTTCAGTGCAACGTGAATGCAAAGCATTGCAACATCCTCCTCTGATCTCCTATGCACTATACCGAGTGTACCTCAGGCCCTTGCGCTCGAAGAAGGCCAACGCCACCAAACCCCGCTGCGTCAGAAGAGCTGAACGCCTCTGCCCGCTCCAGCCAGCTCCAGAGAATTTCGACTGCAAACATTCTGCAACCCTGAATCGAACCCTGGACCACTGAAACTTTTAAACTCTGCGGGGGACACCTCGGGCACCAGCCCCTCACCCACGGCGGCCTCGACGGTGAGAGCAACTTTTGTTCGGGTTCTTGTCTGTGCCCTTCCCACACACCTCCGCTGTGATCTTTGAGGCCCCAGGATCTGGCAGTGACCTCGGAACTGAGTTGCTCTTCCTACAAGTTACCAGCAATTCCTACGTCGTGCCAAAGAACGCCCGTACCTTTAAAGAGTCCATATGAGGTGTTCTTATAAAACTGCCTTCTCTGGGGCTGGAGCTGAAAATCAAAGCACTGAGCGGCTTTGAAACTCTTGGTGCCCTTGCGCCGGAACTTTTGGGATTCTTGAGGCGCATTGAGGCGCAGGCAATCCGCCACACTGCTGAGCTCTGCCGCGGGCGCGACCTCTGTCATCGCCGAAGACCGGCGGAGGAGCCTCGGCAGTAGGGTTTAGGGTTTAGGGTTTAGGGTTTAGGGTTTAGGCCCCATCTGAAGTAGCCATGGAGCAGCATCCAGTGGTGGCGGTGCTGGCGGAGGTGCCAACCCGGATAAGAGGCGACCCTGGAAATGGCGAGGTGCTGAACTTCCATCGTTGTAGAAGAAATGTGGGTTTACGAAAATAAGGGACCTCCTAATATAGACCCCAAGTGATAGCATTCCCTTATAATAAGGGTCCCAAACAAGGTACCCCTAATTTCGCAAACGTGCCCAGCCTCCAGCATCGGATGTAGCCGCTGCTGCGAGGAGGCATCGCCCTTTACAGCCTGGGGCGTTCCGCTGAGCCCAGCCTCATGCAAGGCCGCATTCTCCTCTCAAGTGGTAGCCGCGATCATGACCAGAGGCGCTGGCAAAGAGAGGCCTTGCTGCGTTGCCAGCTTCCTGCAAGGACTTGAACTCAAGACATCTTGGATCCGAAGCGAGCATCTGTAGACCGTTTTGGGATATATACCAGCCTCTTCGAGAACTCGGAGCTGACGCCTTTCAAAAGCCCCAGGATGAGGTCTTCAGAACTTCACGTCAGTGGCTTGCTCTGGGACACCCGGCTTCTTCTGCTCGATTCCACGCTGTAGAGAAATCAGCTCCTCCTCGGCACTTGCCTGAAGGAGTCGGATATTGATAGAGCTAGGAAGTGAAGAGATTATTAGATTCTGGGCCTGCAAGCTGGGTTGTCCGACTCCGACTCCGGTCTTTGCCTTAGAATCTCCAGGCATCGAGGGTTTTAGCCGAGTAGCTCCGGTTAGATCCGGACCGAGCGTGTCTCCGGCCACGCCAGCGCTGCCGATACCGAAGACTCAACTGGTTCGGGCACTGGGTGGACAGGTTTAGTGAAGCATGAGACAGTCCATCAGAAGTGACAAATGGCAGGCACGTGCTACGTAGCAAACATCTCGGATGAGTTTTCCAGTGAAACATGTAGTGGCTAGGCTTTCCCGGAACATTACGACGGACGCGCGATTCCGAAACTGGACGCATTTGGGAAACCAGGATTCAGGAAACTCCGGCGATTTGGCAATTCAGGACTGGCTTCACGCGACGCAGGAAACCACGATTCAGGAATCGGCCAGGGGGGGTGGGTGAGGGGGGTGGGGGAGGTGTTCGGGGCGGGGAAGGGGAAAGGGGAGGAAGAGGGAGGGAAGGGCGGGGAAAAGGGGGGAAAGGGGAGGGGAGAAGAAGAAGGAGGGGGAGGGGGGGTGAGGGGGTGGTGAAGGGGGTGAGGGTGAGGTGATAACGTTCATGTCAAAGGTGCCTTGAAAAACCTTCGCGATTCCCGAATCCGCGGTTTCCAGCTTCCCGAATCCCTGCTTTCATTTCCAGGATCCAGAATCTGCGTTGTCCAGTTTCCCGAATCTGTGGTTTGTCAGCACGTAACATTCAGTTGCATTCCATAGGTTTGCCCAAGTTCCTAAAGACGGCTGTAAGCCCGAACTTCTGCGGATTCAAATAAACTGAAAGCGCGCGGATTCGGAAAATGGAAGTGAGTCGGGAAACTGGACAGCGCAGCTTCGGGAAACCGGCAAAACGTGATTCGCTGTGCTATGCTTGCTTGTGGGGCTTAAGCAAGGTGGCCAGAAAACCATACGAACGGCTCTGGCGCCACACCTCCTTTACAACCGATACACCCTAATCCAAAAGCTTGCCCAACTGGCCTCGGTCTTTCTTGCCACCATCGCTAACCTGCGCAGGTCGAATCGATCCAAACAGTTTCCTGGGGCCTGGGCATCTGCACGCAGGAACAGAGACTGTGATGACCTTTGAGCACAAAACCACACAAAACCTCTCGGTAGGTCCAACAACATTCACATTCAGAATCGAAAGCCTACGTTGTTGCGGCACCATGCCAACAAATGACATAAGGCCCCCCATCGAAATGAAACAACTACTCCCTCCCTCGCAGGGTGAAGCCCGTGAGATCATGTCATGCTATGTATTGCTCTGTTATGCGCATTTCGCCCCTGGCCTGACCGCCTGAAGCGAGTGCAGTTGGACCTGGGCCGAGGTCAAAGTCTACGAATCTGGCAGATCCCGACCAGGCCCGAAGAGATCTGTGAGGGCGGCGGCCAGGACTGCGTGGCCTTGGGCGGAAGGCTGATTCAGTTGGGATCCTTATATGGCACATTCTGCTGATCTCTTCTGGTAAGCGCGTGTCGTTGTGGATCCGACCTGGACTGCATCATGTAGGAACTTCTTAGCTGGTGCCGTTGGTCGCACAATTGTCTCACAAAGCCCTCCGTTGCCAAGGACTGGATCATGCAACAACATGTCCGCTTTTCTCGCTGATCTCGGATGGCAGTTTCCAAGCTTGTGGGCTCATCGCTTCAAGGCTCAACCGTCTCAGGCCCAATCCGCCAATTGACGAGGACTCCTGGGAGCTTCGTCCTGGTCAAGGGCTTGTCGGCTTGTCAGGTTTCGGCAGAACTTCGGGTGAAGGAGTGCAGTGCAGGTTTCGGTAGCCATGAACCCAGTGCCGCCTACGAAAGTTGGCTACCTCCCTAAGCTGACAGCAAACACTGCATCTCACATCGCCTAAAAGGAATTGGCCTTGCTCATTGCTTTCTTTTCGGTGCAACCCTGCTAATTCCCCGCACCCCTGGTTCTCAGTGCTCAGTGCTTCCGGGATTTCCATGAAGGACCGCAAATGAAGCCAGTCAGCATGTCTCTCCGTCCTTCGCAGACATTGTCTCCAAGAGCCGCTTCTGCCTTAGTAAAACATACGCATTACCTTGGATCGCATTCGACTCTACCATTATGATGGTGGTATATTCTTTCATGACTTTTTTCGAAATCACATGGTATCGTTGAAACAGACAACCGCCGGCTCCTTGCCGGGGGCCACGCCAGCGAAACAGTTGGCTTCCCTTCCCACTTTGGTTTCCTTTTGCCCCGCGGCGAGAAATGACTGAATGGCTTCCGTTCCCTTGTTTGCTGCCACTTTGCGCATCTTTTAAAGGGCCCTCGGTGCCGACCTCGCACCGGCTCGTGCTGCTGGGTGTGCAAGGTTTATGGCTTCACAGTTGAGAGGTTTTCTGATAGGCTCTCCAGAGATTTTGCATCAGGATCCCCTGACATCGGTTTTCTAATGCATACCAATCTGCTCAGCTCTCCTTCTTATGGGCCCATGTAATGCACCAGAATGTACGGGCGAGGGCGCTTCGGGTTCCAGAAAAAAAAACTCTCTCACCTTCCTCCCCCCCGCTCCCACCGCCCTCCCCGCCCGATCCCGACCTCCCATTACCTTCCCTCCTCCTTACCCCCTTCCCCCATCTTCCCCCCTATGATGCCAAGGTTTGTGGTCGGCAGGGCCTGAAACTTGGGCAGCGCCCCTGGTCCGCCTGTGCAACCGCAGCTTAGGCCCATGGCGATACAAAGAGCAATACTTAAGAGCAATACTTATAATCAATAATGAGATCATTGCAACGTGTAATATACTACGATCAACACCGCAGTAGCGACCAAGGGATGACCCGATGCTTTCCACCTCAGCCTGAGCCAGCGGCGTGAGGTACTGCTTTTGGATCTCCGATCGCATACCTCGCTTAGGGGGCCTTTAGATTCTTTGAAAAAGAGTCCATAGGGAAGTGCAACACCCACTAGTTGGGCCCTCAGTCTGACTGATGATGCGCACCCTCCAGCTGCTTCTCCACATCGCCTTGCAGTAAGCTTGAGCTGCCACTGGACGCTCAGCACGAGCTGCGAAGAATCAAGGGGTCCGCCTAGCTCATCTTCTCGGACCTTGATGTTTCTTTCCCACTCCTTCGCAGGCCAGGAGGCTTGGCAAGTGTTCTTTCGCAAGTGTTCTCGGCTCGGGCTCATCGAGCCGTCCTGCAAGCGATCCACCTCTGTGTGGATTGCATCGCCCACGTGCAGCAAGACCGCCTTCATTGATGGCCAAAGCAGCTGCTGTAAGCAGAGTGGGGAGAACAGTGGGACCAGTATTAATCCACCTGGTGCTCTGCAAGCTGATCCCGGCACCTGCGTGGAGATCTTTTTCTGCGCTGGTTGGAAAGCATCATGTGTCGTGACCCTACGCCAATTGTGCATGACCTATCATGTCACATACTGTTGGCAGGCTTTAGAATTTGCCAAGGCTGTCTCCAGAAGCACATGGCCTCTCCAACTCACTGCGGACTTCCGCAAGTCTCCGCCATTCGTCTGCAGCGGACCATGCCAGCCTGGACACCGAAGCCTGGCAAGGCGCGCGCAACGGAGCTCCGGAGTTGACTTCGAGGCTCCCCCGGCCTCTGACGGATGCTCGCCACTCCGATCTCCGACTTTGCTTATGCCGTTCAGGCCTTTCCATGGTCTCTCAAGATCCGCGGTGGTTGGAGGCAGGGGCCCTCAGCCTCCTGTTGCAGCCATGGCTGAGACATCCGGCGGTGGGATTTCCTGGGGCGCAGCTTCGGACATTCGGAGAAAAGGCGAATCGGCGCCGGAGGGTCTTCTACTGGGGTTCTAAGGCGTGGGCAGGCACCGGCAGGGGCGGGTGTTCACGGAGCCACCTCAAGGACCTCAGGCCAGAATACTTCGAGTAACAGTAGGAGTTCGGGCTACTTTCTAGACATTTCTAGTGACATTAGTCTGCACAGCAGATGAGACTTAGCATTGCAAGCCAGAGCCCAAGTGATCACTCTTCGATCCCTTGATCTAGGAATGTGAAGTGCGGAGATGAGTTGCGAAGAAACCCTCGGCCCCCTTGAAAACCCACCCTGAACTCTAAAACCCTCTAGAGCGGAAGAGCGGAACAACGGAGCTCCAAATGTTTCGGGGGCTCAGCGCTTTTCTTCCATGCAAAGCCCCTCGAGACTCGAAGCAGCGTTCATTGCAGAGTTCCCATGTGTAGGAACGGCTGGGCGGTGCTCCACTGCTGCTTGCCCACTAAGCACCACATCCTGCACAGTGGAACAGTGCTCTACGCGGCCACTACGCGGAACAAAGGTCTGAAGGGCAACAGACAGAACCGTGGCAAGGTGTGAAGTGTTTTCGACTTTCTCTTACAGTAACTTTGTCTCTATAGGCCGCAGCATCTTCTACAGTGGTGAAGCGCTTCGTACTTATCCCAAATTGCTCCATGCACTTGATCAGCTTCTCGGCTAGAGGTTTAGAAAATTTAGAGTGTAGGGTTCTGCTGCATCCTGCGCCTTCTCCGCGTGCCAGCACATTTTCAGAAGGAGGTTTCGAGCAAGTGCAACGGTCCAAGATCCGAGTGCAGGTGCTTGGATCATGTCCCAGTGGCACCTCATCCGCGTGGCTTGCTATTCTGACTCTGTCGGGTCCGCCCCCATGCGAAGAGTGAATAGCTGGGCATGCAGCGCATGCAGACGACATTCTGAAAAGCGTAAGCGATTGATTGGATTGCGAGGGAGTCGAGGGACTATATCTCACAGACGCACTGCCTGCTGGTCTGCTGCTTTAGTGCTGACAATTGCAGCTGGGTACAGCTCGTCAGTGCGTGTGTGACGGTGCACTCCGGCCGAGAGAGAAGCTGAAGAACGAAGAGATCTGCGTAGCTGAAGCGGAAGGAGGTGACGCTGGACCTGCCCTTCTTGAAGCCACCAGTAAAGGAGGGATCCAGGCCGGCAGGGGGTCGAATGTAGGCTTCAGTATGAAGTGCAGGTCCTGCCCAGAGCAGTGAATGGCTTTGGGCCTGGCGACCATGTTAATTCATCCAACTGGATACTAGTATCATGAGCCTACATAAGTTCTTCAGATTTGTAGTTTCAGAGCTGCCAACCTTCGTGCCACCTTTTGAAAGCCGCTCACGGAGACCCCAACACGTCAACTGTGCAGGCATCCAGTCAGTTGAAGATCGAGCGTTCTTGGGCTCTCGGAGGCAACTCGGCGTGTTTTCTCAACCTCCAGGAACATCAACGTCGGAGTCGACGTCAGGGCTTGAGACCTGTCAGGGAAGTAGCCCGCAGTCAGCAACAATACTTGCTCGCTTGCGTAAGAAGCCCATGCGTAGCCCGGCCTGTAGCCAAAGCCTAAAGTGCACAAGAACCTTAGGGTTCAGGGTTTAGGGTTGGGGTTAGGAAGGTTTAGGGTTTAAGGTTCACAACAGTCTGCATCAGGATAGGAGAGTGTGGTTGAGTTCTGTGATGACAAGAATGCCCGTTCCGTCTTGTTCTGCAGCTACCCTGGACTGCCAGCCTCCAACTGGCAAACGTGCAAATGAAAATTGTCGCCCGCAGCGGCGCAGCCACATTTCCTGCTTAGATTTGAGCAGAAGATGCAGCACTCTGCAAAGCTTGACAGCTCCTACGATGCACGGTTCGCGTGAACGAAGTTGTTGAACGAAGTTTTTTCGCGGGGAGCCCAGACTAGCCATCAAATACGACTACGGGTCATTCAGAACGCTGCGCCACGATGGCTTTTGTTCTGGCCGAGGGTCAAGCATGTCACCTTCACGGCAGCGGTCTCCTCCTCTGCTTCAACAGCCACACCCTTGGTGTCGGCTGTCTCCTTGCAGGCCATGGCTAGCCAGTGATGGGGAGGAGCACATCTACGCAATGCATCGCGCCACAATGCGCCACACATTCCCTGGCCCTCGTTACCCCATATCGAAACGCATCGTTCCAGCATGTGCGTCGAAATCAGAGGATCTCATCACCAAGCTTGGCTCTCATAACAATTGACATCTTTTTACACACATGTTCACGCGTCCGAGCTGGCCCAACAGCTCATGCCTGCTGCAGCATCTTCAAACATCACCACCCGATGTGGAGAGTGGAGGAGGTTTCTTCGTTTGCAACAACTAACTTTCCTACCTTCCTGTGTGTTGGGCATATGCAGCCAACCCCCCCCCCCTCCCAAACCTGCGAATCCGGACAGCTGCTTTGAGCATTGCGGGGTTGGACGCGGCGCGCCGGTTGACTCTGTTCTTGCTGACTGCACTGGCCAGTTTCATTTAGCACAAACATCACTAAACAGGGCCGGTCCTTCACCAGCAAGTTGTAGGTCTCCTTCTTCTAGCAGGCGCTCTGCTTGTGTGCGTGTTGGGCAACATGAAGTACAGTAGCGTCTTCCCAGTCCTGCGTCATGTCGGAGGTCCTCTCCGGCCGCTCAGGCACGGCACGTCTCAACTCGACAGGTTTCACGGCCTGCCGCTGCTCCTTCAAGCACAGCTCTGTACGACAAAACACTACGTATGCAAAAACACTACATATGCACTAACTAACAACAGGTGAGCGGTGAGCTTCTTCTCATGTTTGCAACAAAGGCTCCCACTTCTTAGCGCATTGCGGGATATGAATTTCCAGAGATGTAGTTCCGAACTGCTTCCCGCAGATGTGGCAGATGAGGCAGACGAGCTTCGGCGGTCTTTCAGGAGAGGTACTGTGCCGCAAGGTTTCTACCACATTGACGGCAGGCTCAGCAGCAAGCTGTTCGCAGACTCGCACATGCTGCTGAAATCTCTCCTCATCCCAGAAGGCTTTGCTGCAGAACTTGCAGCTGAGTTTGTGGCATTCCCGGAAGATCTTCAGGGCCATTCGATTGTACTCCTCCTGGCGCAGTCCAAAAAAGCCCCCAGACATTTGAAAGCAACACGCTAAACAGCAAGCAACTCATGGGGGTTTACGAAAATAAGGCACCCCCGAAATTAGACCCCCCAATAGTAGGATTCCCTTATGATGAGGACTCCAATAAGGCAGCCCCAAAATCGGAACCCCCTCATAGTCACTCAGTGTCCTGGGACATCCCGCTGCTTCTTTCAGGAGGGTGAGGAAGCGGGCGGCGGTCGTCCGGTGGCCTTTTTGACTCTCGCTGGGCCCATCGTTGGGTGCATTGCTGCTGATGAATGTCCTTGGTGACGGCACACCACTCTCGCTGCTCTCGCTGTTTCCATGCCTTTCAGTGCTTCACTACAAGGTAGCCATCTCGGCGAAGTGGAGAAAAGCACTGAGCTGGCGACAATACTGGTGTTGCCGAAGTCCCTGCCGCAGAGGTGACAAGTCACCAGCACTGGGGGAGCTGGTGATGGAGGTGCTTTCTCCTCTGTCACAACGTTGACCCGGCAGTTGGCCACATGATGATCGAATTGCTTGTCATCTGCAAGTCTCCGGCCACACCTGGGGCAAGCTTCGGCGCCGTTCTCCTGGTATATCTTCCTGGCAATTTGGTTGTACTCCTCGCATCCAAGAGCAGCGTGAGGCGCTTCTGGTACTTTTCTCTGATCCTTCTGCGCCTTTAGGTGCTCGCGCTCCTCCCACGTCCTCTGACAGCGTGGCAGGTGAATGGCGATCGAGGCCAGGCTGAAATGGCGGCCACAAAGATGGCAGACAACGGCCGTCACCCGCTTGGACGGTGCAAATGAAGCCTTCTCCGAAGTCTTGCGCCCGGGCATGTCTGCAAAATTCACTCTCGGAGGTGTGGGATATCTCGGAGACTTGCTTCCCGGCCCAACTGACTGGCGCTCCCAAATTGGCTTCTGGGCCTCTCGAGCTTTCCAGAGTTTCTCGCACCGAGGCACATGGCAGTGGATGGATCTTGTGCCAAAGAGCTGTCCGCAGATGTGGCAAGTCACGAACCGCTTTCGTACCGAAGCAGGAAGATGTGGAGCAACATCCGGAGATGGTGTCTTGCCTTGCAAAATGTAGAGGGCAAATTCGATTTTTCCCCTTGCTCTTTTATGTGAAGCACACATGCACGGCAGCTGTTGGAGCTTAGACTTTATGATTTTAGAGCACTTCCAGCCTCGTGGGGTAGGATCTCGACTTCTTGGAGTGTTCGACTTCGATCGCTTCCCAGAGATCTCGCGCTTGACTGCAAGTCTGGGTGCAAGCCCATGCTGCCGCGCGCACTGGTTCTGGTGCACCCGTATGGAAGTGTACAAGAAGTGCTTCCCACAGATTTGGCAGGGCACCGTCTTGGGAGTCCTGGGCCTTTGCATGCTCATGGGCGCGACATCGGCGCTGCGGCTGCGAACATTCACATTCCGAACAACCCAAGCGGTGGCTGCTGGTGAAGCTTCTCGACAGCTTTGTGCTCGACTTGCGGCTCGTGGTGTCTCTGGGTCGGAGTCGCAATCTTCAGCCCGACTGTGGCTTCGAGATTTCCTGTCCTGTAGACTTGTGCACTTGCGTCGGTGCAGGTTGATGGACGCTTGAGTGAACTCCCGCCCACACGTCTCGCAGGTCACCGTCTTCGGCTTCTTGAAGCGCGTCGGGCGCTTGCTCAGCTGATCTTTGTCGGTACTGAGGCTCACGAGCTGCGACTCTTGAAAGACTTCCTCAAGTTGCACCAGCGATGGCAGGGAGCGGCGACGGCCCATGACAACACACAAGCTGGCACAACGCCCAGTTTGAGGAGCCTGCCCGCGCTGCTTGATTGTACTGCTCCTGGCGGCTTTGTTGCTGCAGAAATGTGAACATGAACATCCGACGCGATCTGCGCTGTGTACCCATATCACCCTAAACCCTAAACCCTAAACCCTAAACCCTAAACCCTAAACCCTAAACCCTAAACCCTAAACCCTAAACCCTAAACCCTAAACCCTAAACCCTAAACCCTAAACCCTAAACCCTAAACCCTAAACCCTAAACCCTAAACCCTAAACCCTAAACCCTAAACCCTAAACCCTAAACCCTAAACCCTAAACCCTAACCCTACCCTAAACCCTAAACCCTAAACCCTAAACCCTAAACCCAAACCCTAAAACCCTAAACCCAAACCCTCACCCCTAACCCTAAACCCTTAAACCCAAACCCTAGCCCTAAGCCCTAAGCCCTAGGCCCTAAGCCTAAGCCCTAAGCCCGAAGCCGAAGCCTAAGCCCTAGGCCGTGGCTCCTGAGTCATATTGGCATTCCAGGTGGGTGCCCTGGGAATGGGCCGCCGCTCATCAGGTTCTTTCTGTGCCCTTGCATCTGCCATTTCTGCTGACAGTATTTGGGCGTGGATCTCCTGAATAGGCGCCGAATGGAAATGCAGCACGTGCGAGTCAACAAGCAGAAGCCCCTACGATCTTGCAACGCGCCAACTGCAAACTGAGTTCCGGTCAAAGGACTTGCTGCCAAAGTTGCATCCACACAGGTGACAAGCAGATGGAAAGCAACTTTAAGCAGCATTTTCTCTTCCGGAATCTCGACGCCACATGTTGTTAAGTGTTGCTGCAGCATGGCATCGTTGGGGAAAGGAACGCCCGCAACTCTGGCAGATGACCTGCACCTGAGCACATGCACCCGCAGCTGTTATATGGATATATAATATATATATATATATATATATATATGTATATGTATGTATGTATAATGTGTATATATATATATATATATATATATATGATATATATATATATATATATATATATGGAGAGGAGATGATACATATATGTATGTATACATATATATATATATATATATCATAAAACATATAGCACATTGCATATAGCACATTGCATATATCACATAACATGTAACATGTAGATTGTAACATATCACATAAATTTATTACATATATACAATATCAGATAGAATATACATTACGCATGTATCCAATAGGCATAGATGTAATACAAACATTATTGACAAACATTGTATAGTTTATTACTTATGCATAATATATCCGATATACTACATGCTCAAGTCACATATGTCAGACACCCCCAAGGACACCGTAAAAGGACACACTAAACCTAATCCCTACCTTATAACTCCTGGGGCAAGTTCAAGATTGCTGCCTAACCCCGGGGCCTTGTCATGTTTAGTTGTCGTGCTGGGTTCAAGAAGAAGTCGGTGGGCGGGGGGGGGGGAGGGGCCACAAGGCGTCCTAAGATTTCTTGCCTTGATTTCTAAACCCCGTCGTGTCTACAACTCGCCTAGAGGAGATAAGACCTTCTGAGCCAACCCTACATCAGAAGTCATGGGCAAAGCCACAGGTGGAGCTTTGGGAACCACGGCTTTGAGGCAGCTCTGAAGGTGAGCTGGAAGCTGGCTGGCATGCATGCCTTACTGTTGGTTAGTACGGAATCCTAAACCCTAAACCCTAAACCCTAAACCCTAAACCCTAAACCCTAAACCCTAAACCCTAAACCCTAAACCCTAAACCCTGAACCCTGAACCCTGCTAACCCTAAACCCTAGTAACCAACAGCAAGATGCTTTTGCCGCAGTGATGGCATCGCCTCTGAAAGCGAGCTCGGACTGCCTCAGTGCTTCGCGAGGCTAGGGATGGCTCGGACGTTCATTTGAAGGTTGGGGTTTGGGGTTTGGGGTTTGGGGGTTGGGGGTTGGGGGTTGGGGGTTGGGGTTTGGGGTTTGGGGTCTGGGGTTTGGGGTTTGGGGGTTGGGGGTTGGGGGTTGGGGGTTGGGGTTTGGGGGTTGGGGGTTGGGGGTTTGGGGTTCAGGGTTCAGGGTTTAGGGTTTAGGGTTTCATGCTCAAGGTATGCTCAGGACACAGGCGGGGCCTGAGGACTTGAACTCTGAAGCTTAAGTTGGTTTTGGGGGGTTGACTTGGGGTTTTAAGCTGGAAGTTGAGCTGTTGGGTTTAATGTGTGCCCCGGCGACTTCAGCATTTGCTGGAGCGACTCTGCTTAGAGCACGGCTTCTGGTATTCTGGCCGTGGCATCATTTTTGTAAAGCGCCGACCACGAATCTGAGTTCCCGAGCTTAGAGAATTTGGGGTTTCGCAGGTTCGTGGGCTTTCTAGGGGCAGAAGTACAAGGGCCCAAGGGCCTGTGTGGCTTCATACCCCATAGCCTCTGGAGCTTTTGTTTGGCTTTAGCGAAGGGATCACCAATGGCAATCAGCTTCCCTTTCTTTATCGCAATGGGCCAGTGGCCGCTATGTTCGCTCTCAGGGGAACATCCACCTTCCGTTGAATGGGGGGTCGAGTCTTCGGATCTTTCCAGAACATCCGCCTCCATTGAAGAGGGGTTCAGGGGGGGCAGCAATGCTGAACAGTTTGAAGAAAGCCCCTGTTGGTTTGCTCTGACCGGCTTCGAGAATTGACTGATTGACGGTGTTGTGCTTGATTGCTTCATGCAAATGGCAAACCCTTGTCTCGCTTCAGCTAAGGCGCCCGGTTGAAGTCAGTCTGTGTCATCTCTGGCGTCAGATTCGGGCACTCTGGCACAGACTCGCGATGCTGTCGAGGCTTCTGTAGCTGGATGTCCTCCCACTTTCTGACGCACTGCTCCAGATGCACATCGATGGAGGCCTCAGTGCCCAGTTCTACAACGTGACAAGTTGTGTTGCGTCTGGCCAAGGTAGCACTGTGGTGCTTGTGGCTTGCTGATAGCTCCCATTTCCTTCTTCAGGCCCTGGCAGCTCCGAACTCGCGGGAGCACACATGGCAGGCGATGAGGCACGGCACACGGCTCTCCGACACCACCATGGCGCTCCAAAGGTGAAGAGCATGCACCGGCTAGTAGCAAGCACTGCTTTCACTGGGCAGGGCTCGGGCTGTTCAGCTCTGAGCTTGCATTAGGAGGCCAATGGGCAGGGCACCGCAAGACGTGCTAGGAACATGCTGCGAGCACGAGCACGTTGCGGACATAGTGTGAGCATGCGCGGCAAGGGATACGCCGATACGCCAAGAAATGCACGAGGCTTCAGCTGAGGTTCCGGCGGAAGTTGATCGGTGAAAGTACCACCAGCACCCTTCTGGACTCGGCCTTGTGCCTTGGCCTTGGGTTCTACGCCCTTGTCCGGCACGTAGCCTGCGTTCGAGTTGCAGACATAAGCAGACATAAGCCGCGCCGGGCCCCCTCTTTTTCTTTTCAAGGCATGCCTGGCCTATAATCCTCGGCATGAGCGGGGAGCCTCGGATTGGATGGCCATCCAACAATACCTTCCGGAGGTGTCGAGGGAGGTGTGGCATATTGTGGCATTCTCCAGACGGGTACTTCCGCACTCCAAATCCGCGACCTCCAGTTTCACGGGCCCTTGCGCCCAGTCTGGAATCGAGTAGGTAACGGTGTATGTGCCATCCTTCGGCAGATCATGGCAAAAATGCCATGCTTCAAGTCGACAGGCGCAAGTAGCAACCACAAACACCATGGCACATGCCTCGTTGTCGGAGACTTCGTGCAATCGCACGTGGGCGCTGGCCCGCACGCCGAAACCTTCAGCGGCAGGATGAACGCCTCGATGTACGCGCCTGCAAGAACTGGGGCCACAACGAGCTCCACCCTCTCCGCACAGATTTCCGAATTCGTCCATGGCCTCAAGGCACGGATTTCAAGAGCTTTATGCCCAAAGGCAGCCAACGACATCATGGCCTGGATTGTGAACTCGGCTGAGCCACCCAGTGTGCAGCGCTGCGACCCATCGCCGCGAACCTGCCCACAACATATACCCCGTGCGACTGATGCGATCGAGAGACGTTGATATGAGACTGCTTTGCCAATTGAAGTGAAATCCTACTTGACCCGGAGTCAAGAAACAGGACTTGCTCTGACTTTCGGGAAGCTTGGCTTTGCCTGTGTGGTAGTCGCACTGGGTGGGCCAGGCCTAGACATAGCCAGGCCAAGCAACGCCAGGCTATCTCGATGACAACATCGAAGTCGAGTGCAGGGCGCGACGCTGACTGCAATGGGGCCTCGGTCTCAGCTCGGCTGGATCTCCACTCTAAACTCTAAATTCTAAATAACACCATCTGGCCAATCCATGGTTATCCGGTTTCAGGGCTGTTCGCTGCACAGTGAGGTAAGTGCCCAACACATAGGTAAGGCAACCCCATCCACGCACGCTGCGATCTCGTAGACCCCAGGCGTTGCACAAACGAACTGGATGTGGTATGTGCCATCCTAGAGCGGGATAGAAGCTGATGTGTCAATTGCTGCAACCAGCCCCAAAGCCTTGCCTGGCGGTCTTCCACGAACGGGCGCGGCTCTGGCTGCGTTTTGGACATGAGGCTGCGGCCGGTCCTTGTGGCAGAAATGCACACGGAGAGCTTGGTCAAGCAAACTGCGTCAACTTGCATTGCTTTGCCTTCTGCAAAAATTCCGTCCATGCGGTCGATACGCTGCGGACAGTTCTACATTAAGGGCAAGACACGATGCAAGTGACGGATGCCCCGCCCTCCTTCATGACCTACAGTGGTGAGGCCACAAACACTTTTTCAACATCTTGGGACATTGCGATGCCGATTCCGAGGTTGGGACTTGGCCATCTGACGTCACCGTGGTTACCTACAGCGACATGCAGCGATCGGCAGTTTAAAAAAGTGTCACCACGTGCTTCTTCGACCTCTGGAATCCTTGAGGCTCCACATCTCCGCCGCACGCGGGACTGAAGGTTGAGGTTGCCACGATGAAGAACATGCGCTCGCCGCACTTGCCACCCACCAGCGCCGGCCCATGAGCCAAGCAGTTCGCGGCCTTGCAAAAAGAGCCGTTCAAAGAAGGGAAGCTCGGCACCCTATGCCAGCGTAGACCCCAAACAGATCCAAACAGTGAAGGAGCAATACAAGAGCACCGTTGAAAACAGACCGAGACTCCAAGCACTTCCGAGTGCTCGCTTCAAACGTCCCTTCAGACAAAAAAAACCCTAAACCCTAAACCCAAAACCCTAAGCCCTGAACCCTAAACCCTAAACCCGAAACCCTAAACCCCAAACCCCAAACCCTAAACCCTAAACCCTATGCCGAAGCTGTGCCTTGGCCTTCACTGCCTGGGTGGGTGCCGGCCTCAGCAAGGCGCACAAAACACCGACAGTACCCCTTCAGCGCCTTTTTTGCGGGGGAGCTACATGTCAGAAGGTTAATTGTTGGGATTTTGTTTGCAGCTACTCCAGTAGAAAGGTTGCAGGTTGCTCAAGTGCTCAAGCTGCCGCGGGCCTGAGGAGTATCATAAACTGATTCAGGTGCCCACCTCCTCCTCCTACCCTTCACCACCACTCGTTTTCCAACTTTTTTCAGGTGCGGTGGGGCTGATACTCCCCCCTCCCCATTTTGGGAGCCTCGCATGATGGGTGTGACTGCAATTACTCGCCTGCTAAGAACAGAAGGTCTAGTGTCATGGCACGATGCCTGACAGTGTGCGTAGGGCGCAGGATGGAACAAGTGGCAGCACCGTTCCAGGGAGCAGGCTGCTCCAAGGCTTTCTTCTGCGCGGAGATGACTTCATCCGCCCTGGCAGAGCTTTGCTAAGGCATTTCGCCGCCACTTCCGTGAAGCTTCTGAAGGCCAGGGCACCTCAACCCTTCAACACCCACACGTGGTGGCCTTTGCCTCGGAATTCGAGAGCTCAGACAAACTCTTTAAAGCAGAAACTGTCCCAAATGCCGAGGTGCCGAAAGCCTAGGCTTCGTGATCCCCTGCCAGAATGGCCGAATGGAGCAGCAACTCGATCTTACATTCTGCTCTCATGCCATTTCCATCCATTTCCGCACCTTGAGGCCAGAGGACCAAGTAACGAGTCGACGTCTAGCGACTGGAGGTCCACACCAAGAAGGAGTGCACCTGTGCGTCCGCTTGATCTTTGCATCCAGCGCCTGCCTGCTGCAGTACTTTTCTGCCTGCATCAGCGCCCTCCACCTGTCAGGACTGTGCAGGTTTGGATTCTTTCGGTGACTTGGGATGAGACCTGGGAAATCAAACCGCGCCAACAACGGCCTGCGCCTGTCCAGTCATGGCCCAGACTGCGCGGTCGGCGCTGTCCCAAAGGGCTACACCTGCGCTGCGCTTGTCTCAACAAGGGCACGTGGGGATGCTACGGGCATTCTGGTCTGGCGGGCTCCGTTGGGCCTTGCGTTCATCATCAGCCATCTCATCGGCATCAAGGCAACATCATGAGGGCTGCGGAGCTCATGAAAACGTTTTGTAGCAGCCTCAATGGCAACTCAACTATTCAGTTTCTTCACTTTACATTGTCACACATGTGGTTGTCAGATGGAGTGGTCGGATGTGGTGTTCAGAGATCCACCCCATGTGACTCTGCTGAGGTGAAAAGCCCGACATGTGCAAGCACGACGCACGCTTCAGCAAAGGCAGGACCATGCAGGCAGCCTCCAGGCGGGTATGAGCAGGCACATACAATCCTCCATGAAATGCCCCTTCTTTTCTGCCATCTGCTTGGGCGGTTTGGTGGCTGTCATATGCGGCTTGATGCGGCTTGTACCACCAGAAAACCATGTCCGGAGCCACGTGTAGAGTGGTGTTGGGCAGGCTTGCATGGGCGGCCTGGACAACCCCAGGCCAGATGCGGGCGTAGTCGTGGCCTGCAACGACCCCACCCTCTTTCACAAGGGGACTCCAAGCTTCAATATCACTTTTAACGGAATGCTCCTCATGATCTGCATCCAAGAAGGCCAAGTCGAAATTTCTGAGACCCCTCCAGGACTTTGCTGCGGAGGTGCTCTGGTCCAAGAGGAGCTGCGCCCTGCGACCGAGCCAGGGTGCCAGCGCGGCACGGGCATCGGCCAGCTCCGAGCCTCCCATGATCCCTTTCCGATCCGCGGCGACATAGAGGTCGACCCCCAACCATGTCAGCTGTTCGTGTGAGGCCAGCAGACGAACAGAGCATTCTGCACGATTCACACCCACCTCGACCACTTGCGGGAAGGGCATGGAACCGGTCGGCTGGTTGGCCAGCGCCCAAAGAAGAACCGCTGCACGGTGGAGGATACCCTCTGCAGCAAAGCGGTTGGGGGCTTCTCCATGAAACTCTGCTCGCCGCACGCGTGTCCTGCCGAAACGCAGCACTTCGTCGCCGAGAAGCGTCGTAGCCTCAAAGTACTCTGTAAACGTCGTAGAAACATTGTCAACAGCTGCAAGGGCAGAAAGTATGTCAGCCTTTCCAGTGGCGAGTGTAGTGACTGGGAAGAGGAGGTCACGCGGCAGAGCTTGTGTGATGAGAGCTGCGGTGGTTGTTCCAAACGCCGTGCGGACCCTCCCAGATCTTGGGAGATAGGCCGTAGCTGCGCCGAGCCACCTGCCAACGAACCCATCTGCCCTCAACAAAGTACTGCATGTGTTGTGGAATGCAGCATGCTCAGATGCATGCGTGTTCCGCTTGTTTTGGAAGCAAGGACAACAGCTACAACACTTCAGTGCCATCAGCGCAGAATGTACAACATACATTCTATTTGGGATTCGACGTTGTTGCGCACATCAACTGTCGTGGTTAGAGACTCAGACCAACACTTCGGTACCATATGAAGACCGCTGTCACCGGCACCTTTCTTTTCGCTCCTTGGCCTCTCATGTTTAGGGTTTAGGGTTTAGGGTGTCGGAAATCAAGGGCAAGCGTGTTCCACCATCAGTGAGTTTTCTTTTTGCATCTGGACTCCAGTGGGTGCTGCCAGAAACTGCCCAAGCGGAGGCTTCCAGTGCTACTGACTGGACTCCCATACTCTAGCAAGCCAATCAATCAATCAACAGGCACAGTCATGTTTGAGATTACAGCGCTGTCGCGGATGCTTCAACGCCGCTCTTACAGCCTTCTCACCTGCTGCCTCCACAACTCGTGTCCACTCTCATCGGAAAATGCACGTGGACTGAGCTACAAACATTTCGAAGAACGTTCAAAACGTACTTCCTAATTTTCCTAAGTTTAAATCGTGCTTCCAGTGTAGCCGTTCAACAGCTACTCCTGTGAGTCTTCAGGAAAAAAGCAAGGACTGTACACTGTACAACATGGAACTCACCAGCATTACTGATGCCAGTAGTGTAACCACTTCTTCATGTGGTATTATTATTTTTACTCTTATTCTTCTTCTGTTTATTAGTATTCTTCTTATTATTATTACTTTTATTCCTAGTATTGCTATTATTACTATGCGGTGCTTAAGTCATAGAAACCTGCACGGATAAGCCTCGTCGACGCATCCCTCCGACGGCTCTGGATCCCAGAGCCGTCATCACTCGCTGCGTCTGGGAAAGGCCTCCTTCCTTCTCGTTACTTGCTCCGGCATCTGAGGAATGGGTCTTCTTGGGTATAGGAACGGCTGCACAAGTCTTGCTAGGTAGATCAATGGCTGACTGGCTAAAGACAGTTTCCCATATACGTAATGGCTTTGGGGTTGTTGAATGAAGCGACCCCCACCTCAGAGCCCGTGAGGTTCAGCACGAACCGGGAACCGGTCGGAATTAGCCTCAGCCGCCGCCAAGGAGGCGCGCCACCTGGAGGCCGGCGCTTACGTCGCTCATGTCCATCTGCCGCGGGATGTCGTCCCTCGGTAGTTCTTAGTGTTTATAATTTATAATGGAGGAGCGAAAACCGCGGAGGGATCTGCGATCCTCGCTTCTGAAAACAGGAGCACAACGCAAGCTGCCAGGAACCGAGGCTCAAAGTCCTCATCTTCGGCTTCCGGGCCGGGCTGGTCCAGGAGCCTCCGAGCCAGGAGCAGCAGCAGCACCAGGAAGCGCAGCCTTCGCAAAGGGAGGCGTCGGGCTTCGGCTCTTCGAAGGGTCGGTACTCCTCGTAGGGCTCCGAGGGGCTGCCACCGTCCTCGCAACACGTGAAGGAAAGGAGTGAAAGGAGTGAGCGACATGGATGAGCTCTCCGTGGCTTCTTGAGACGGTTGAGTTCTGGTGATGCTTGGTTTTTGGAAGGGTCCTGGTATTTCTGCTTCTGGAGGGCGCGGACCTCTGCCAGCTCGCTTTCTCGTTGTGCGGGGGCCTCAAGAAGGGACGACCAGTGCAGCATGTACACCCGCTCTCATGCAATGTCGACACCTGTTCAAGCCTGCCTGGGCAATCTTGGCAACACGCTTCTCAGTTTGGTCACGGAGGAGGAAGTGGGACTTGGCGTCCAGGATCTTCGACACGTGGTTCGGGAAGTCCAGCTCAACGTTCATCGGGAGAACCAAGAACTCATCGGCTGCTTCCCAACCCATGCATTCCATGACGGCACGGGCTCCTGCGCAAACCGCAGAACCCTTCCCTCCGCACGCCTGGCCACTCTTTACATGTCAAGCGACTTGTACAGCGGCTAGAGTCACTAGATGTCACTAGTACGGCAAACGTGTAGCTATGGTAAAGGTCTGGTAAAGTGGTTACGGCCAAGGCAAGAGCAGTGTTGGCAGTTCCTGCCGGACGCGGGGGAAGCATCTGCGGTGGCGGACCACACTTGTGGCAGGTAGTCAGTGCTGTACAGCCTTTTCGCTTTCCCTTGCTCTTCTGGGCTGCTCCTGGGCCTAGAGGCCCGGAGGCCCCCGCGCGCGAGCGCGCCCGACGTCCAGTCTTCGGTATGACACGGAGAGGACTGCGTTGCTTCCCCCCCCTTTAGAAACAAACCCTGACACACCCCCCAGTTAGCTGACCCCCTTACGTTTGCGGGAAGGTCCCTTCCTCTCTTCAGGGGCATGTGCCCTGCCCTGCGTGTCTATCCGGGTGTGAGGTGGTGACAAAAAACCCTCTGGGCAATGCCCTTGATTGTCCTGCACTGTCTATGGTGTATCACAGTGTGGGGTTGCTGTCCTGAAAAACACAACCACTACTGGGCTGCTCTCTCTCCTCTTCTTCTTCTTCTTCTTCTTCTTCTTCTTCTTCTTCTTCTTCTTCTTCTTCTTCTTCTTCTTCTTCTTCTTCTTCTTCTGCTTCTTCTGCTTCTTCTGCTTCTTCTTCTCCACGCTTGAGAGGGCCCCCCGAACTCTCTCTTGGTGCTCTGTTCGTTGGGTTGTTGACTGCTGGTTTTGGTCTGGTTTGGTTTTCCGGCGGTTTTCTGGTGCGGTAGCTGCTGCTTTCTTCCCCTTTCTTGCGGTAGAACTGAGCCTTCCTCTGGCTGGCTTTTGTGGAGTCCCCTCCGGGCCGTGGTCGGACCAGCTTTTGGTGCTTCGGCACGTTGTTCAAGAAACACCGGATCAAAGATCGGTGCTGGCCTAAGCTAGGCGACTATATGGCATGCTGCTGGTCAAATAAGAGCCTAAACGGACGAATCTTCCGGCGCACTCCTGGGAGGTTGAGGAGGGGCGCCAGCTTCTCGTTGCTGGTGCGGAGCCTCCTAAACTTCTCCTCTTCCGGCGCCCGCACCACGTTGCGCACCAAGGTCTCAAGGACTTCCAGGCCACGCAAGGCGCCCTCAGCCGGCAAAGCCCTCAAGAGCTTCTCCAAGTCCTCGACCGCCATGGCCGGACCGGGATCCTACGGTTCCTCTCTTTCCTGAGGCCGCGTTGGACGTTTCGACACAGATCCTTGCAAGAAAGGTGCACCCTGTAGCTGGGTTTAGGCTTCCGTCTGGACCTTAGGCTTGTGTGCTTGCTTACACTGTGCAGTGTCAAGGCCGTACATCGTTTGCTTGGGCTTCACTCATGCCAGATGAAAAGTTTTGGCGTAACCAACACGAAGTCCGGCCTGGTGGCTTTGCCGAGTCTTCGGAGCATCAGGCACCAGGCTGCTCGCCAGTGCGCCAGAAGCTGGGTACACTGGAGCGGATAAGACGTGCAAAAAACACGCAGCGTCAGCGCCATCGTCGTCAGATCAACGATTGCGTTGCTTATAAGATGGTGGTACTTTGGAGCACGGACGTTCATGAGGCCGAGCGTCCTGTTGAAGGGCATGAAGTTTGGCGGGATCGTGGTCGGGAGTTGGGGCAAACGGGTTCTACGACCCGCCCATCGTCTGCAAACGTCAGATGTAAGTGTCCGCTCTGCATCTTGCAGAAATCGAAGGTGTTGGGGCTGCCAGCCGTTTTGGTGAAAAGCCGCTTCCTCTTCGCTCAGGAAGCGGAAACGTGCTTCAGACGCCGCCATAGGATGCTGGCTAGCACGTTCGCTACACAAATGTCGCCTAAGACCCGCTGAGTTGTGGCTGCTCAGCTGGTGCCACTTTGCATAAGCCCCAACGACTAGAAGGCGCCATGTCAAAAGACTCTGTGCATCAAGTATCCGTCATGGCTGCAGGCGTTGTGCATGTTCAATGCGCTTTCATAGTCCAACCGCAGCAACATGCGGTGTCATGCAGCCGCCCTGCATCTAAGCCCTGCTTTTCCTTGCAGCGCGCGTGCACGCACCAAGACTATGGCGCAGCAGGTCGAATGGCACAGCTGCCTTGTCCGACCTGTTTCCATTAACACGTACTGGCTCTATACGATCAGCTTTTCCCGCCTCAGGAGGGCGAGGAGGAACTTCCACCATGTCCAATGACAGCACTCATCATATTATGAATAGGCTTTCAATGGTCACGGTGTGATATGAAGGCCCTTGAATTGCGACCTAAGACATTTCCATTTCTAGAATGGCAGACACCAAAATAACTTTGCCAGAGGCTGTTCACAACTTATGTTGAGGATGGCTCTCCCTTGCTGCAATCACAATACACTTGGAGCCAACGCACGCTGAGTGCCACGCCTGAAGAACTCCCTCAGGTGTCCAACCTGCCACATGACCAGCCCTCCTTCCATGGCCTCAGCTGCCAGCAACACCTAAACCCTAAACCCTAAACCCTAAACCCTAAACCCTAAACCCTAAACCCTAAACCCTAAACCCTAAACCCTAAACCCTAAACCCTAAACCCTAAACCCTAAACCGGCGGAGGGGTTTTTTTTTTGCAAAGGTGTGGCTCGGCCCTGTCCTCTTGCAAAGGTGTGGCTCGGCTTCCCCCCTCACGTCCCCCCCCCCCCCCCCCCACCCCCCCCCCCCCCCCCCCCCCCCCCACACCCCCCCCACACCCCCCACCCGCCCCTTCACCCCCCCCCCCACCTTCCCCCACCCCCCCCACCCCCTCCCCCCCACCCACCCAAGACTCATATGCTTTGAAGCGAGCTTGCACGGCTCAAAAAAAGCGGGGGGGCCATTTGCAAAGTCAACGCTTGCATCATGGGTTTCAACAAGACTCATATGCTTTGACGCAAGCTTGCACGGCTTAAAAAAGCGGGGGGGTTGGGGGGGGGCGCAGCCCCCCCCATTTGCAAACTCAATGCTTGCATCATGGGTTGCAAAAAGATTCTTATGATTTTGAAGCAAGCTTTGCACGGCTCAAAAAAGCGGGGGGGTTGGGGGGGGCGCAGCCCCCCCCATTTGCAAACTCAATGCTTGCATGCTGCAATGCTTGCCTGTAGGTTTCAAAAAGATTCATATGCTTTGAAACAAGCTTGCACGGCTTTAAGAAGCGGGGGGGTTGGGGGGGGCGCAGCCCCCCCCCATTTGCAAACTCAATGCTTGCATCATGGGTTTCAAAAAATTCTTATGCTTTGATGCAAGCTTGCACGGCTTAAAAAAGCGGGGGGGTTGGGGGGGGCGCAGCCCCCCCCCATTTGCAAACTCAATGCTTGCATCATGCTTTGACGCAAGCTTGCACGGCTCAAAAAAAGCGGGGGGGTTGGGGGGGGCGCAGCCCCCCCCATTTGCAAACTCAATGCTTGCATCATGGGTTTCAAAAAAAATCCTACCCACGTCGTCCGGTTGCCAGTATAGTCAGACACCGACCCGGTAGCCACTGAGGATAGACACCGCCCCATAACTCTGGAACCGGTTCCGTTCCAACACCTTTTTAACTACTAATAAGGGTATCATAGAAATATCAAGTTTGTTTTGTACCAAGATGACAGGCTTAGGGGCTGGGCTTAGGGTTTAGGGTTTAGGGTTTAGGGTTTAGGGTTTAGGGTTTAGGGTTTAGGGTTTAGGGTTTAGGGTTTAGGGTTTAGGGTTTAGGGTTTAGGGTTTATGGTTTAGATTTAGGGTTTAGGGTTTAGGGTTTACGGGTTTAGGTTTGGGTTTAGGGTTGAGGTTTTAGGGTTTTAGGGTTTAGGGTTTAGGGTTTAGGGTTAAGGGTTAGTGTTATGGTTTAGGGTTTAGGTAAGGTTTAGTTAGGGTTTATGGTTTCGGTTTTAGGGTTTGGTTTTTAGGGTTTAGGTTTAGGGTTTAGGTTTATGGTTTTAGGTTTAGGTTTAGGGTTTTAGGGTTTAATAAGGGTTTAGGGTGTAATGTTGGAACCTTGTTTAGTAGTGGCCGCCTCTTTAAAGTCATCTGGCCGAATTATTCAGATCCCCTGACTGTTTTCGGGTGCCTACTTTAAAGTCCTCGTTCCCGAATCTCCGCAATTGTTTAAAGCTTGGGCTGTTTCGGCCCGTAGGCTTCCGGCTTATCTGGGCGCCTATGATTTTACAGCCCGAAAGGGGGGTGATTTTAAAGGCCGACCTCATCCATTCCAACTGGCCCGAAACCGTTAATTCCCTTTAAGAAACCATTTGAAAAATTGGTTTCGTTCAATCCGACAAGGGGGGTGGTCCAGGAGCCCCCTTCGGCCCCGAATAATGGCACTGATTCGGGGTCCTGTTTTATGTCAAGGCCCCGGCCCGGAAGCTCCGAATTTGGATGCCTTGGTCTCTTGGCTTAAAGCCGGGCCTTATGATGTTAAAGCCGGATGTGATTTTAAAGGCCGACCTCATCCATTCCAACTGGCCCGAAACCATTAATTCCCTTTAAGAAACCATTTGAAAAATTGGTTTCGTTCAATCCGACAAGGGGGTGGTCCAGGAGCCCCCCTCGGCCCCGAATCGTGGCACTGATTTGGGGTCTGTTTTATGTCAAGGCGTCGGCTCGGAGGCTACGAATTTGGAAAAAGCCTATATATGGATTCCTTTTAAAAATATATAAACTCATCCCGGATCCCTTTTCGACTCGCACACATCCCTTTTAAATTATATTAAGCTCATCCCTTTAAATTCATATGGATCCCTTTTAAATCTATCTAAACTCCTCCCTATTAAAATCATATAAACCCCCGGGGCCGTCTAATCAGGCCCCCATCCACGCCTCGACTGTTCCCACATTAAACAGGATCCCACATTAGGGTTAGGGTTTAGGGTGTAGGGTCGAGGGTTAGGGTTTAGGGTTGAGGGTTAAGGTTTAGGGTTTGGGGTTTAGGGTTTAGGGTTTAGGGTTTAGGGTTTAAAGGTCTTGGGTCTAGGGTCTAGGGTCTAGGGTCTAGGGTCTAGGGTCTATGGTCTAGGGTCTAGGGCTGCCAAAGGGGGGCCCGGAACGCTTGGAACCGTAACAAAACAGCTTGGAACCGTAACAGAACACCCTGGAACCGTAACAGAACAGCCTGGAACCGCAATGTCCGCCCCCCGCGCCCGCCGCGTCCCCACCCCTCCCCCACCAACCCCCCACCCCCCCGTCCCCACCCCCCCACCCCATACTACGACCAAAAAAGTATTATTACAACCAAAAACCGGGATGTCACAACTGCTGTCGGTTTGAGGGCAAACCAGAAACCGTGATATCACAACCCGCTTATTAAGGTTACAAGTTACCAACATTCCAAACCAGAGTTGGGGTCCTTACAGAACACCAAGCAACTTTGAAAACATCTGCAGTTGTGATATCCCTCATCTGCTTAGACCCTGTCCTCCCTGGGTTGCCTAAACCCTATCAGCGCTGCGAGGCCACGTCTTAGAGATGCCCAGAGGCAAAAGCACAGCTGCAGATTTTGCAGAGAGCGTTCGATGCCACAAGAGGCTTTCGCTGATTTTACATGTGATTGCCCAGTGATTTTGTGGTTTCATCATGACTTTTATCATACTTTTATGTGTTGTGGGCCACAGAATTCCCTACACCAGGAGCTTGCATAAATGAATTTTCTTCGTTTCTGCAGCATTGATTGTTTTCATATGTGATTACGCACTGATTTCATGGTTTTCTCCTGATTATTATGTGTTGCGGGCCACAGAATTCCCTACACCAGGAGCTTGTATAAATGAATTTACTTCGTTTCTGCAGCATTGATTGTTTTCATATGTGATTACGCACTGATTTCATGGTTTTCTCCGGATTATTATGTGTTGCGGGCCACAGAATTCCCTACACCAGGAGCTTGTATAAATGAATTTACTTCGTTTCTGCACCATTGATTGTTTTCATATGTGATTACGCACTGATTTCATGGTTTTCTCCTGATTATTATGTGTTGCGGGCCACAGAATTCCCTTCACCAGGAGCTTGTAAAGATTAATTTACTTCGTTTCTGCAGCATTGACGGCTTTCATATGTGATTGCCCAATGATTTCGTGGTTTTCGCAAGATTTTTATCTTTTCATGCGCCAGAATGGCCTCCGGTTGAGATATCCACCAACATGCAAGGCACTGGTTGTGCTATCCGCGTTCTCAGGCCTCCTCAGTTGTAATAACCACTTTCTTGGCTTTGGTATTTTCCAACTGGTTGTGTTATCCTTTAATCTCCCCCCACCCCCCCCACCTCTTCTGGCCCAAGTCCAGGTTTCGGGCTCGAAACCCCCAACCCCCCACCCGCCCCCCACCCCCACCCCCCACCCCCGCCCCCCCACCCCCCGACCTGAAAGGTTGCTACGGGAGAGGGGGAAGCGGACTGCGTGTACCCCTGGTTGAAATCTGTATTACTACCCACCCCCCCCCCACCCATCAGCGGCATCATTGGGCGAGGGGGGGGGGGGGCAAAAGCATCAGTAACATCATTAGCACTGCGCATGCGATGTTGCAATGTTCCTTTTTGGTTGTAATGCTTCCTAATTTGTCGCTTGGAAGGTTGGTTCCGGAACTGTTGTCTCGGTTCCCATAGATCCTGGAACCAGAGGCTAGTTGCCAACATAACCGAACACCAGGACGACTTGGGCTATGCTTTGATGCAGCTTGCACTGCTTAAAAAAGCGGGGGGGTTGGGGGTCGCAGCCCCCCCCATTTGCAACTCAATGCTTGCAATCATGCTTGGACGCGGAGGCTGGCGGTGGGTGTGTCGGGTGGGGAGGGGGGCGGGGGGGGCTCAAACAAGCTGGGGGTGTGGGGGGGGGGGGCGCAGCCCCCCCCCATTGCAAACTCAATGCTTGCATCATGGGTTTCAACAAGACTCATATGCTTTGACGCAAGCTTGCACGGCTCAAAAAAGCGGGGGGGTTGGGGGGGGCGCAGCCCCCCCATTTGCAAACTCAATCCTTGCATCATGGGTTTCAACAAGACTCATATGCTTTGACGCAAGCTTGCACGGCTTAAAAAAGCGGGGGGGTTTGGGGGGGGGGCGCAGCCATTTGCAAACTCAATGCTTGCATCATGGGTTTCAAAAAGATTCTTATGTAGGGTATCCAAGTAGGCCTCCAAGCACGGTAGGACGTGTTTTGCAACAGCGAGGGTTTAACGTGTTGGGGGATGTGGGGGGGGGGGGGAAGTACCAAAAGCTGATCGCGCACAAGTAGACAGGTCAACAGGGTTTTCAGGACCGGCATACTACTTTTTTACACTCCACGTATTTCTAGCAGCTACAGCTACATCGCGGTAAAAAGAATCTTTGCGACTGGGGAGAACAGGGAAATCAAAACGAAGTGGGCGCCCAAGCCAGGCCAAGCCGAGCCAAGCCACGCCGAGCCAAGCCAAGCCAGCCAGGCCAAGCCAAGCCAAGCCGAGCCCACCCGAGCCAAGCCAAGCCAAGGAGCCAAGCCAACCAAAGCCAAGCCAAGCCGAGCCAAGCCAAGCCAGAACACAAGCCGAGCCAAGCCAAGCCAAGCCCAGCCGACCCAAGCCAAGCCAAGCCGAGCCAAGCCAACGAAACCCAAGCCAAGCCAGACAAGCCAAGCCAAGCCAAGCCAGGTCAGAGGACACGCCCAGCCAAGCCAGGCCAAGCCAAGCCAAGCCACACCTTTGCAAGGGGACAGGGCCGAGCCACACCTTTGCAAAAAAAAAACCCCGGACCCCCCTAAACCCTAAACCCTAAACCCTAAACCTAGACCCTAGACCCTAAACCCTAAACCCTAAACCCTAAACCCTGAACCCTGAACCCTAAACCCTAAACTCTAAACCCTAAACCGTCTTGCCGTGTGAGAGGGGCAAGAGCAGGCAATCTCTGGGCGCAGCACCATGATGAACAAGGCTACCCAAACCTGAAGTGCAAAGATTCCACTCTCCACTCTCAGACCCCCGGAGTTCCTAGATGTCACCATCATGATCAAGGCACCTCTATCCTTGCCAAGCCACTACATGTCGGTTTACAACTTCAGAGGCGTCTCGAAACTCGAGCTCTGTGCTACGCTCGTACCTCCCAAGCGTCAACTCCACAACGCTGCCATGCCCAAGTTCCCAAGCCGCCTGTTTTTGCAAGAACCCAGCCGACACTTCAAGCAGACCTGCAGGGCGGAGGCACCCCGGTGCCTTTTTGTGTTTTCCGACGCACGACTGTCATGCCTCGGCTGTGCAATTATTATTATTCTTCTTCTTCTTATTCTTATTCTTATTATTATTCTTCTTCTTATTCTTATTATTATTATTATTAAAAATGCGGCTTTGAGTCGATGTTGCAACTTAGTACCATGCTTCGGGGCTGCAGATGTGCAGGTTGAACACGCGCAGGGGGCAAATTGAGCCAAGGTGCTGGGACACGGTCGTCCCGATGATTGCTGTTTGGCACTGTGCGGCGCCTTTCAAGGCCCTGAAGCCGCAGGATCTCAAAACGTCGTCGAGTGAGACCGCAACTGCCGACAAGATCTGCAAGTATGCGGGGACAGACACTTCGGAGAAGGCAGCCGGGATCCTTGTAGCAGTTCAAGATGTTGCCGGCTTGTTGCCTACAACTGGACTGCACTTGACAAAGCATACGTCAGTCCAGCACAGTGCAGTCGGGCTGTACACAGACTGCAAACCAGAAAACTGAGTGCTTTCACTCTTCGCTGCTCAGGTGGCGAGCTCTGAGAACTACTGCCTGGGTGGTGACGCCGTTGGCTTGATGCTGCCTGGGCTTAGCCTAGCTTGGCTTGCTGTGGCTTTTCTCCTTCTCAAACGGAGGGGAGGGGCTACCCCGCCGTCACCACCGAAGCGTTAAAAACTTGAGCAGCAAACTCGGTCTTCAATGTTCAGAGATGGCCCCCTGGTCCTGACCCGAACCCGTACCATGCGAAATGGTAACTTACAAAGCTCAAGAGCAGATGGGGGCTTCCGAACTTAGGAAATACCTAATTGGGCTCCTTATATTAAAAAAAGGGGGGATCCTACTATTTGAGGATCTATATGGGGGAAGCCCCCAAATTTTCGTAAACCCCCAGATATGTTCTTCTTGGACCACTGGATGGCCATCCTTCGCCTGAATTCACGTCGTGCCAGATTCCAAACCTTCATCTGGCTGAAAATGCTTGATATTTGCGCATCAAAGCAGGGATCTATCTCAGCTTTCGGTCGGCCTGCACAGGCGCGCACGCGCGCGCACGTCCACACGACACAAATGACACAAATGCGCCAAGCTCAAGCTGCCGAAGGCTGCCGAGCCTTTTTGGGGGCTAGTCCTGCTTGTTTTGAACAAGCTTGTGGATGTGGCAGAGGAAGTCAACCTCCAGCTTCGAGTCGCTTCGATGGATCCGACTCTTCTCCTAGCTCACTCCGTGCATGCCAGGAAGCATAGGTGGACTCGGAGCCAGCGCGGTCTTCCGCAAGGGAGGCGAGAACACGGGACCTGAGTCACGGATAGGACAGAGAGGAGTCCTGAGTCTCGGGGCCTAAAGATGAACAAGGTTCATAGTACAATCCCCAAGCTGTACCCTGCACTGCACTGTGGGCTTGCAGCTTGGGTCCAAGCTCTTCCGGTGTGCCAGGAAGCACGACATGAAACGATTGCCATGGCAGCCTCGTGGCGTCGACGAGCGATAGTGGAAAGAATTCGGTCAATAACAAGATTGCAGACATCTACATGCGCATTTCCGCAACAGAATAGAATCACAGAATTGAAGTGGAACAGAACCATAACCCCAGCAGAATAGCATGGAATAGGACAGAACTGGACTTTGAATTAGAATTGGAATTAGAACTTGGAACGATTAGAGTTGACTTGAAAAGAATGAAGAGCATGCTGTGGAGACTTGCTCAGATTCATTCTCAACTGCATGGACTTGTCACCTTTCCCCCACATTTTGAAGTGCACGTATCACTTTAGAGCCATTCTCCGGAGTGGCTTCATGTAGTCTAGACATCCGGCCTCCATCTTTCCCTTCTGATCTGCTGGACGCATGATAGCATTCTCTCAGCATCCTCGCTGAGGGAGTCCGCGAAGTCCTCTGAACATTTTCAAGAACTCTAGCAGAGCAGCAGGGTCGGCCAGAGCTACCAATCTCCAGCGGCTCCAAGCGCCTCTGGTGCCGACAAAATCACAGAGACGTCTTGCAACGTTTCTGCTCCAAACCTTGGGTCTGTCAGAATCTGCCCCCTGCACCCTTCTGCAATCTCTCCCCCAGATTGCATGTTGAGCTGCACTTGGTACAGCGTCTCTTGGCCAACCTCAGGCCTCACCTCAGCTCGACAGCTATTACTTAAACTGCCCTCACGGCTGCCAAGCTTTCTTTCAACTTGAGACAGACATGATTCCATATGATTCCCGCCCCAGCGGAACATGCCACACCCTAATCTCAACATCCCCTGGTTGGCTCAAGGCAAGAAGGCACAACCAAAAAGAAACACTGCCCGAGTCCTCGGCGTAGAGGCGCAAGCTCATACCGTTGTCGATCCTTGGGTGCATCAGGCTCTCTGCTTTTTGTTGTCGTGATTTTTGGGGCTTTGTTGGTGTCATTCAGCTGGGCGGCAAGTAAATGCGATCAGTGGCAAGTTTGTCGCCTGAGCACAAGTCGGCATGGGGGGCCTTGAAAAGAAGGCTAAGACAGGTTTGTAGCAAAATGTAGCAAAGGCCCGAGCTGGAGCCAGCTATCGTTGGTGGCAAGAACACCTGAAGCTCTCAGCGTAAAAAAGCCTAAGACCATAGTTGCAGCATTGCAGCAGAAGATGAGCTGCTGGCATTGTCTCCGATTCCAGTGGGCAGCCCCGCTTTGTCTGGAAGCGGCAGCATGGTATAGACCTTAAGGGGAGGTGTAGAGTTTCCACGACTCTGACTGTCATGCTTCTAGGCTATCCATAAGGCTTCCCACAAGGCTCCTGCTCGTGGATATACCAGTGATGCTGTCAAGGCGATGGGGAGACCCAAGGTCTTGGAAAACTCTGCAATTCTCTGCAACGTTTAGCCTCGCATTCTGTGGCTCTTGACGCATGGCTAGGCTGCAAGCCCGGATCAGCGACACGATCCTGCAGTGCCCAGCGGAAGGTGCCGATTCTGGCGAACATGCGGAGTGTGAGCCGAGTCACCGATCATCCACCTTGATGTCGGAACCTCTGCACACAAGCACACGCAAGCCTAAACTCAAAATCTGCGGCTTGGCAGAACGACATGAAGTGGTTATCTAAAGCGATCTCGCCTGCTCTGAATGCCGGGAACTTGCGGATCGTGCCAATGTATAGTGGCCTTGGAGTATATGAAATCAGCAAAAAGCACTTCTACATCGCTTCTGGACCTGCGTCCACAGGCCCACGATGGGAACACAAACTCGGATGAGTGAATGGGGCAGAACACAGAACAGAACGGGCACACTACCTTGCTGTGTGTGAAGTCAGCGCTTCACGGGGCCCGAACAACTACCTAGAAATTCACTCAATACCTTGGACACGCAAGCATTGGGTCTGATGCGTGTTTCGGGCAAGCTCGTGTGACTGGGTGTTGATATGTGTTGATAAGTGCATTTGCGTTGTCGGCAGGTACCTGTTGTCTTGGCAGACCGAGCCAACAATGATGCTGAAGAACTCTGAGGTCGGTGCAGCAGCTTTAATGACTCAGGAAGGATCAGCTGCCCAGCCTCGCATCCAAAGTGTGTCGCTTCCAGGCTCTCGGCGGCTGGGTGAAGCTGAGTGTTGCACCGCTGTCATCGAGGCGCAATTCGCTCGGTATGCGTGCAGCATGTCCTGGTGGTCTAACAGAATCATGCCCGTACCGGATGCCCACACACGGAGCTGCTCCAAGGCTGTGGCAACACAGGACTTGGTCAGCTTGTCCTTAAAGTTTCCGTTCCTCGGCGACGATAACTCGCTGTAACTAGCGCCAAGGAAGTGCATGACTGCCCCTCTCCACACCTTTAGTTTGGAAAACTTGGTGCCGACAAATTTCCCGGTCAGGGCAGAGTCTGCGGCCTGGGGGCAAGTTTCGAGGCTCAGGGCACGGCTTCGAAACCAATTCGGAACTTTGAAACAGGGCATGTCGGGCCTGTTTTAGGAGCAAGTTGGTTACGGCATCAATCTCCGTATATCGGAAGACGTTGCTCAACGAAGAAGTCACCGGCAACTGAAGTGTGTGGACTCCTGAGAAGCAAAGGCAGACATGCTACGCATCCGCCGATGTAGTATGTGGCAGGCATGCCAACTTATGCAAGCACGCGGCGGATTAATCTCTTGCCGCGCTTGTCAGTGTAGAGGCACGCAACCTGAGTGGCCATACGTAGCCATACCGACTTGCCACATGGCGCATGCATTAATGTCGTCACGCTGACGACAGCTGTGCAACGCTTCCCTGCCTGAACGTATGCATGTTTCTGGCCTTCGATCCTAGTCATCCACTTTTGGCTGGCTGACATGAGCTGTAAGGCAAAACATGGCGAAACTGCATGATCGGATGTCCTCTCACCATGCACGAGGACAAAGTCGGCCGTGGCATCGACAGACCTGTTAAAATTTTAATGACCCGGTCACACACACACACACACACACACACACACACACACACACACACACACACACACACACACACACGCATTTTCTGCGTGAGTTTTTGAGTATCGTATTCAGAAAACATCCGTGCTCCGGACATCCTCGAGACGGAGAAAGTGCTGGGGTCTATGACCTGCTGCCAAATCACTCCCCTCCGCTAGATTGACTTGCTTGTGCGATGCATCTGATATCATCTGATGAAGGCCTCTGGATCCCATGTGCAATGGATGCTGTCCACGGCGAGCCCCTTGCTCACCCGCAACTTGAACATGACATTGAACCTCAGCGGCTTCAAGACAGCAGCCCACTTGCAGTCACACACAGCTGGTAGGTCGATGGGGTTCTCAGGCAAAGGCACAGCTGGCTGGACAACAGTCCTTAGCAGCACGCGGCATCATTCCTCGTCATAGTCAGCAAGTGACGGCATGCCCTGCCTTGAAAGATCATAGTGCAGCCGCTCCCCATCCCGGGAGGGATCCTAAAGGATGCACAAGCTGTAACCATCGAAACTGTCGTTGCGGCATAAACACCGTGGGTGGGGGAGGCGGGGGGGGGGGGGGGGGTTCCCCAGCCAAAGCCAAGGCAAGCTCGAATCCGGGGTAGTAGCAGACTTCTCCGCCTGTTCTCCTGCGAATCTCGCGGGCAGCTTTTGCCACTGCCCGCTGCCATCGCCGATTCGACCCAGCCTTGGAATTCGGCACAAGGTTGCCATGTCCTGGCAGCTGCTGAAACTTATCATTCTTTGGTATAGCGCAGAATTCCGGCGCGTGCCGCGATCCAGTAAACTTATGTCCATGATAACAAACTGTTTTACGTACTTGTGTAAACCCATGACACTTAATTAGCATGAGTCAGTATCATAAATACATGGTGCCCTCCCATACCTGCCTTTAGGATGTTCAGCCCTGCCTAGGCACGCCGCCAGTTCAACTGACCGTGCTCATGTCATGGGGTTGAGGATTGAGTTGAGTCATTTGGGATCGCATTTACATGCATACTTGCATGCAGTGCAATACATGCACTAAGTACATACATTGAACAAACATTCCACGCACCACATACATCAAGTATATGGCGTGCGTGCAGCTGCACTACATACACTGCATGCACCGCATACGTTTCATAACATACACGACATGCACTCCATGCAGTACATAGACTGCGTAAATTATGAGCTACGTGCTGCATTTCATGCAGTACATGTACGCAGCATACGCACATACACTCCAGACATCATATGCGTTACATACTTCGCGTGCGTTGCATTCAGTACATACATTGCGTGCATTGCTTGCATTGCAGACACTACATAAAATACAACGCAGTACACTGCAATGCAATGCATTACACTACGCACATCCAGACAGACAGAAAAACAGACAAGCAGACGTACCGACAAGCTCGAGGCAGGCATATACAGACACACGCATGCACTTGCAACTTTCGCGCACACTCTCACGGTCTCTCACAAGACAGCAGGGCGGTGAATTGGTAAACTTGCCAGGAAGGCTATGTAAATTCCGGTTGCCGGTGTGCAGAAGACACTCACTGCAACCTTGACCAGACACTCCTACGGCATTTGTCCGTGAAGGGCCCCGGTGCCGTGGCAAAGGAGGATGTAAGCAGCTGGCTCCACGATTGAGGCAGTCGACATCAATCTCTTCAAAGAATGTGGGCTGCTGCACCTGTCACAATCTATCTCCGCCGTGGACAGCACTGAAAACTTTGAAGAGGGTGATGGATGTCGACACACTAAGTGCTGGGCAGCGAACAGACCGCCGCCTTGCGCTGGCATGGGGCGCAGGAATGGGCGCTTGATTGTCAGCAGTATCTTGATCATTATTAGTAATATTAGTATTATTTTTATTCGTATTATCAATATTATTATTGTTATTATTGGTATTAGTTACCGGAGACAAAGCTGCTTACATCACGAATATCTGAGGTGAGCCGCCTTCAGGTTCGGAAGCCAGCCTAAGTGCAGAGCTTTAGCGGAGCTTTGGCAGCTTCGCAGATCTTGCGGGCTGTGTTTCACGGCTTCTTTGGCTAAGCGGCTTGATGTCGTCACGGTGCCGCAAAGCTCCAATCCCTGAGATCACACGAGTCACGGTTCATGCCTGCTTGGGATCGCCTTCGACAACTAAGTGCAGACAGATCCGACTGTAAGCTCATATAAGCTCATCGGACTCTGAATGCGATTAGCTGCCGGGATCCGAGAAGCAGGCCAGAGTTCGGCAAACTTGCATGAAACCTGCCAGCCGGGCGCTTCTTTCATTGCGGTTGCTGTAGTGTAGAAGGTGTGTCGAACCCAGTGGAAGCCAAGACGGCGGCATGATCACGTGGCCACCACCTTACTGCAAACTGCACTACACATCATAACATCTCTTCCACGGTTTGCATCAGACTGAGGCACATGCCCCGGGAGCCCAGCAGCTCTGTAGCTGCCTTTAAGGCAGCACAGCCGGCTGCTTGCTCCGCCTTCCATCATTCCATCATTCCGCTTCGCCCCTCTCACATGATCTCACGGTGCTGCCAAGTGTCTAGACCCTCGGCAACCAGCAGTCCAGGAAGCTCGTCCAAAAGGGAGTCGATCCTGAGAATTGATATTCATAAGAAGTATTCAGAATACACAAGAATCTCAGGCAACAACAGAAGCAATCCAAGAGTACACAAACAGATGGGCCATATCACGGACGCAGAATGGCAGAGGCCGCACGAGAAAGGCTGAGGTCCAGAGCTGTCCCCCCGAAACAAAGCGCACAGCATTTTAAGCAAACACCTCTAAGGCAAGCTGCTGGCTGCGATAGGCGGGGTCCTGATCAGGGGCCCATATTCGAAGCTTTATGGTGCTCAAAACAGGTTCAGCGGTCCTCGGCATCTACCAGCAGCACCTCTGCACCACAAGGCGCGAAGGGATCCTGGAGCTTGCGATGTTGGCTCAAGCAAGCTTTCCGTCAACGAACCGTGCGCATCCTCTGTGTCAGACACCGTGATCTGGCGCGCACAGTCCTTGGCGAGGGAACGCCCAGCGCAGCCCTAAGCCTAAGGCCCTAGAACCACAGTTGAGCTTCGATTCCTACACCCCAGCAGCCCCTGAGATGACCAAGCGATGCACGAGCCCGGGATGGAAGGCGAAGAAGTGCAGCGCTTGGTCGAAGAGCAAGATCCCGATCCTCACCCCCAGGGCACAAAATAGGAAAGGGAACACATATGGGCGCTTGGCAACAACATGGTCCCTTTTTGGATCCCTATTGCAATACGGCACCTAATATTTAAGGTACCCCAGAAGGGATCATAATTTTGACAGCCACCCATAGGAACACGTGGAACACCTACAACTTTGGAAGCCGTACTGCTCTTGACCACCTAATGTCATAAGCTTCAAGCTTCAAGCCCCAAATACACTGATTTGATGCTGCAAGGCACAAACTTGCCTGTCCTGGATGACGGCCGCTGCATAAAACCAAGCAAGGATCGCAAGGTCCACATGACCTGCGGGCAGTCAATGGGAAATGACACAAGGACCTGCCTGCCGAGTTATTGAACTGAGATGAAGCTTACACGGGGGTTTCCGAAAACAGGGGTACCCTTTTCGGGGTCCCTTTAAGGGGAGTCTATTCTATTTGGGTATAAACGGGGTACCCCCTATTTTGGCAACTGCCCACATACAGAGCCTGCATTCACAAGCCTTTCCAGCGCTACATTCGCGCAACACACGACACCAAGATGTGCTGAGGTGTGCCGATGCCTGCGGAAGCAGGCCGCACTGCAAAGATCTTTGGGTCCTAGGCGCATGGGGAAATGGGACATCATCAGCCCTAAACCCTAAACCGTAAAATAAGCCTGAACCCTAAATTCCGTCGATTGCTCAGAAGTCGACGCTTCAATGACAAAGATGGTGGCAGGAACGACGGGAGCTGATTCCGAGTAGTCGCTGGGTGCCTCCGGCTTCCACAAGGCAGAGATTCCAGCGTGGACCAGTCAAGTCCGAGCTCTAGGCGACGTAATCGACCGTGCCGCGGTTCAGTTCCGGGCGGCCCGCCTCACGTGATAAACTGCTTTTACAACCTATAGCCGAAGCCGCTGAAGACAGAGCCCAGTGACGGCAAATACATCTGCTGCCCATCGTGTGCCTTGTCCACACGCTGTCCCTTCTCATCAAGGTTGCACATGTACTCTAAAGGGACCTTGCCACAACAGACCGAGCAGTTCACTCGACTGCAGTGCGCGGTAGCTGGTGCATCTTCAGAAGCTCCCCTGACATGTGCCTCCACACGCTGCCCACAGAAGTTGCACGTGGCCTGGTGGGGATTAGCACAGGCACCAAGCAGGCAAGTTGATGCTGTGCTTGGCGGATACAACTTGCATGACTTGCCTTCGAATTCCAATTCCAACCCTGTTCCGGAGGCCTCTTTGCCGCCATTGTGCCATGTGAAGAAGGCATTGACGTAGGCCTTGCACCTGTTGCACCTGAAAGGGCCTCGGCTCAGTACAGGCAGTGCAGGATCTGCATCATGCGCTCTGCACGCGCATGCACGGAGTTGCCTGACTCCCCCAGATCAACGCAAGGAATGTCAGCCTGACAAGGCAAGATTGCAGAAGGATGCAGCGTGCTAGTTGTCACCATGTGAAAGGCCTCGAAAGGCGTCAGCTCTGCAAATGGTTGGCAAACCACCTCAGCAGTTTGAAGCAGCGCAGAGCTTCGCTAGCTGCAGAAGAAGAGATGCAGAGGAGCACTGGGGTCCCAACTGCCATGGGAATATGCGCGGTGTTTGCAGTCGACGGGTAGGCTGGCACCTGCTCTTGCTCTTGCTGCTCGCCGCAGCCACGCGCATTGCGGGTTCTTGGGCCGAACCTGGTTGACGGTCGAGCGAATGAATTCGCAAGAGCTTGAGCCACAGTCAACCACGGTGCAGACCTTGGTAAGCAGGAATGTTCAACATGCACCCAAGGTCGAGAGAACTTGCTTGCGGCATCCAGTGACTGGGCGTGACACTGTAGTCGCTGCAGGGGGCACGTGATATTTGGTAGTCTCGTACACCTGCAAGACCGACTCACATGGGCGTCGTGCCAGGATTTGGGCAGCTCCCACAGTAGGGGTACCCCAAATATACCCCCAACTCCATAATTTTCACTAGAGGAACCAAAAGGGTACCCCGATTTTCGGATACCCCCCATTTTCGAATCGTTCCAGCACACCCTGCCTTGCCACCCTCCTGCTTCACAGCCTCTGGCTGGCCAACTGGACGTGGAACCTTCGGCGCGTGAGGTGAAGATGCGAAAGCAGGCTTTTTCTTGCAAAGAAGTCGCGTAGATTGCTTGCGAACATATCAACAAGGCATCTGAAGACCCCGGTTTCCCACCTGCTCGGGGTCTATTCTTGAATTCGACTTCTTGGTCTCGGTCCTCAGAGGAGTCAGGGGAATCAGGAGAACCAGGACTGTATACACGAGAAGCCCACGCCCTTTTTTCGTGACTCCACACTGGCCCAAAGCTCAAGAAGCCTTAACCCTAAACCCTAAACCCTACAAAATACACCCTAAACCCTAAACCCTAAACCCTGAACCCTAAACCCTAAATCCTCAACCCTAAACCCTAAACCCTAGCCTTCGCCGTGAGTTCGGCGAAGCTGCAGGTGCACCGAATTTTCTCGGAGTTCCTGGCAGGCTGCTGCTCTTCATGCTCGGCTTAGTTTTCGGATTTTAGGATTTTAGGGTTTAGGGTTTAGGGTGTAGGGTTTAGGGTTTAGGGTGTAGGGTTTAGGGTTTAGGGTTTAGGGCTTAGGGCTTTAGGGTTTGGGGCACTTGAAGCCCCTTGGAAAACTTGCAGCCAGCGCACCTGAGATTGACCGAGGGACGCCATTTTTCATGGGCGAGGCGTCCACAGTGAAGCCAACTCCGGAGTTGGCCCTGCACGCGGGAGTTGCCCATGGTTTCCCTTCTAAGCCGTGAACCCTCCCAAGCCCAGTCAAGCTGGTGACAACCCCAAACCCTAAACCCTAAACTCTATGGAAGAGATGGAAGGGAAGGGGAGGCGCCTCTTGAGCTGTCCTCCCGGCCTTGTGGGGAGTCAAAGTGGCCATCGAACCACAAGGAAGCTAATCTCAGCTCGAAGCGTGTAGGCTCCCGGTGTGTATCCTGTTGGTGTGAATGCCACTGGAGTGTAGCCACCTGGCAGGTCGAGCCAGCTACTCAATTTGTCAACACTTTGTCAACCGCCCAAGGTGCTCAATGATTCACTCAGCACCTGGTGTTTTCGCTCCAGGTGTTTCTCCACCTCTGTGAGCAGAAGAGGATCTTTTGAAAAAGGGGTTCTCTCCTTTTGAAGAAGCCCGCGGTGTCTTGACAAGGCTTGTCTCGAATGTTCTTTGCAACTCGTTCCAGGGGTTTCTTGAGTTTGCGGGAGACTACCAACATGAAGTGGCGCCGCACGCAGACTGACTGAGTTCGGTGAGTGTTTTTGGAGGCAAACTTTCCCCTTCAAGGGGGGTCGGAGTTTTGAGCAAGGGGGTCTCCGAATACTAAATTGCTTCGAAAATGGAAAAATACGACCTTTCCTTGACCAAAATTAGGCCGTGAAAAGGTCGCCGGGGTCCGTGAAAGTCGGAAGGCCATTCGCAAACTGCTTTCACTAGTCAGATTCGGACTTGCTGTCCAGGGATGCAGTCTCCCATTGAACGCGGATGGTGTGGCAACGCAGGCCTTTCGAGGTCAAGACGGAAATGATGTGGAGGGCGGTAGCGGCTTGCCCTGCTCTCGATTTCGTTTCACGACTCTTGTCGTCACATCCGGACGACTGATTCGTCTTCTGGACGAATGAGGCATTTACTATGTTTTGGGCGGTGTATAAGGGGTACCATATGTTATGAAAATTCCATGTTGCTCGTGGTTGTTTCAATCGCGGTTTGTTTCAATCGCGTGTGTAGCTTGTCACGGGATGAACACACTTTGTTGGAACATCGCTGCTTTCAGTTTGCAGTCGATTCCCGGCAGCCCTCCCTGCAGCTCGACCTAACGAAACATGTCTTGACATGTCTTGACAGGTCTTGCAAGCGGCGCGAAAACGCGAACCAGCCTGAATATGGACTCAGAAAGTTTCTGAGCGTCGTGCCATACATTGCGAAAGATGCGCCGCCTCAACAAAAGTCTGGGATTTCTGACGGGTCATGCTACCTGGCTGGCGACTAAGCATGGCAACAACCTACTGTAGCTGGGCAGAGTACTTTGCGGCGGTGACATTGAGAATGGAGAAGAACCGTTTAGCCTCAGTTCGATGGCAATGACGCGGATTCAGGGAGATAGCGCAATGGCCCATGGCCGTACTTCGCAACCCTTACTTGGAGGTTCATGGTACTTATTAACCAATTAAAACTGTACTTATAACCTGCTTATAAGCCCCTTAACTGCCTAGTATGGTTATAAGTATAATTGGTTAATAAGTACCATGCACCTCCCAGTACAGCTGGGAGCCATGGCGAGTTCGCCGCGGGTGGCGGTGCGGGCCCCGAAGCCTCTCCGGCTCCGAAAGCAGCGAAAGAACCGAAGCAACTTCTGCTCCAAGGCGAGGTTTGCACGAACTCCAGAGCTGTCGCATCCACTTCAGCCCTAAACATCCCTGATTTCTACACTAAACCCAACCTTGTTGTCCCTGTCACCCCCACAACCCGAAACCCCGAGCACTATGTCTGCAGAGCGTAGAAGAATGTGTTGCTGATGTCGATGCTTCTTGGATGCCGAGCAAGCTTAAGTTCTCAGTCTCAACATTCTCCTGGGCTCGAGGTTTGACGAGTCTTGGAACTTTCAGATTTACGACAAAACATCCCGGAACTTGGAAGCTTTCACTGTCCCGAGTATCATCGCCTTGTGTTACGGGATTCTAGCTTGACTTGGACCCGTACTCAAAACTGTGAAAGCATACCTTCCATACACATGCCAGTAGTAGCATGTGCATATGAAGTAGGGTTTATATTTCTTGTACCCCCCAAAAGGAGACCAAGTATATACACTCACCAATATTAACAAGGAACCTTACATACTCTCGCCAATAACAGAAATATAAACCCTGCTTCATATAACTCCGTGCTCGTAACTGCACTGCACGCCACCTGCACTGCACCTGGCTTGAAAGCAGGGTAGGCGCTGACAGGACCTCAAGCGTTCCAACAAATTACGGGCACAACTCGCACAGAAGCAGGAAGCCACTTAGAGGTTAAGTAGGGGTCAGGGGTTTAGGGCTTAGTTTTGAAGATTCGTTACAACATGAAAGAGCACAAAGCGTCGCGTGGGAACTTTTGAGGAACTGGCTCCCCGAGAGTCGGCTTGTCGGGGAACCTTCTGGAGGCGTTGCACCACCCTGGCGGCTCTAAGGCGATGGCTCCATGCTACAAAACTTGTATGCTTATATTTGTATATTGTATATATTTATACACATATATATATATGTACATATATATATATATGTAATCTTTCTATGTTATTATACTCTTTTATGAATGTACTTAGCTGATGAAGGACAAGTTGCCTCCTTGAAGAACTTGATCTTGGACATTGCATTGTTGCTGATGAGATCTGGCCTTCAAGGTACCAGTGGTTACCCGGCACTCACACACAGCGGCAGAGTTGCTGAGTTCCCGACCGAGAGTTGCTCAGAGAAGATGTACGTGAAGCCTCCAAGTCAGCGATGCCAGCATTCTAAAGAGTTCCCGAAGGAAAAGAGTTCCCGAAGGAAAAACCCTAAACTCCCAAGCACTGAACCACCCGAAACCCTCGAGGTCTGCAGCGGCTAAGTGCGGCTCATCAGGCCCTGCTGGAGATGGCTCTGTTTTTGCGGTGCTGATCGCCGGGCCTAAGACGAGTCAGTTGCCCTCATGTTCGGTGACCTGCCGAAAGGATGTTCTAGCCGTCTAATTTTGGCCCTTCCAGGCCAAGCACTCGCCGATGCAAGCGGCGACGAGTTGGCAACAAGAACCTGGCTTCTGCTGGCTAGTCGGCAGTGGCGCGCTGCTACTCCGCCCAGGCCAACACGAACCTAAACCCTCTCAGGCAGTTGCCGGATCAAAGCAGGCTGGCTGCATGTTGTCGTGGGCATTGCCAACGCCCTATTGGGCGTGCGGTTCCATGCTATGATTGTATGGTCCCCTTGGATTTGAACCATTGCAAAGTTTGTGACAGGTAACATCTGGATTCTGCTGGTCAGTACTAACTTTTCGTACTTCTCTTGGAGCCTTTGCTTGATGCTGGCAGCTGCAGTGCTGGCAGATTCACACAGCTGCCATACGTTCACACGTACCGGCAAGGGGTTCGTAAGCCGACAAGCCCAAAGTTGTGCTGTGACAGGGGCACTCGTTCTCAGCCGAGATGGCCTCTGCTCTTGCCATCGTACTCAAGACAGACCTGACGGGTCTCGGCTGTCTTGGCTTCCCGTTTCGGACCATCTGAGTACATGCACTGAGTGCAGCATCTGTTTAAATGCCAGTCAAAGATTGCCACGCAGACCACAAAGTACAACATTCCCGGCTCTGCCTCTCGATGCCTTTCATGTTGCCCCGGGTGGCTGGACTCCTGGCGCAACACGAAGTCCGATCACGTGAGCCCCGAAGCTCAAGTGGCAGAGGTCTGGGGCCGGGGCTTCGAAAAGTCGGTGTCGCCCATGTCGACACTGAGCTCCCATTTCAGAGCCGTGGTCTGAAACCAGCCTGGCGTCCGCACATATGTGGGGTGTGGGGGGTGGGGGGGAGAGGGGGAGTTGATCTCAATGATGGGCCCTTTTGGGGTCTCCATGCGAGTACCTTACAGTTGAGGGTACCAAATGAACGAGTCCGCAATTATCCATGATGTTCCGGAAGGCGCACTTCAGGGTGCTCTCACCCTCCAGTTTCTCCTCCTGATAAGCCCTTGCCTTGCATTGTTCCGGCAGCTGTCATCTGGAGTTGCAACTTCTATCTTCTTAAGGGCTCGGACGCAGAAGCCAGCATGACCCTATTTTAGCGGCCGAGTCTTACACATCAGTTGAACATCTGTGCAGGCGAAGGGGATCAAGGCATCAATGCACAACAACATGGCGGCATGACGAGAACCAGTGCATTGGACACAGATACCTTGGCAAGTGTGGCAGAAGTGGGACGCGTCCGTATTGCGCTGGACAAAGCTGAGTGCCAGCGGTGATCGCCACGCTGTTGTGTCATGTATGCTGTCCTTCCTTGCTCGGAGTCCTCAGCTGGTACACAATTCACAGGATGAGGCCATGACTCGATTTTCAGCCTTGGGGATTTCTTCTCAAGCTGTCCTCGTGACCCACCCTCTTCGAGAAAACCTGACAGGAAGAATGCAGCACCTGTCATGTCGTGCAACCATGCTCTACCTGCCATGGCAGTTTGTCCGCATTTCACAAAGTCTTTGTCTCTTTTTGGTCGGCATGCCGCTGTGCCACACTGGATTCACGATTGCGGCAAGGAGGTGGGCTTGCGTGAAAATTCCAAGGAAGCTGCCTCTGCTACCGAGCCGGCGAGGCTGTTTTTGCTTATTCTAGCACTATCTTGCTCTAAAGAGATTCGTGCATGCTCATTGGATTGCGCGTGGCATTCCGGGCAATGCAGCCGACTGTTGATATGCAAAACCTTGTCCTTGAACCTTGTCGCTTGACGGTGAATCGACTCTGCTGCTTCTCTCGAATCCCCACATCGGTTTTTACACAAGCCCATGTAACCCTGCAGCCTAAGAACTCAGCGCGATCACCTTCGGTGAGCGCGCCAGCTAGTGCGAGAGTCAGCTCATTAACAGCGTAGGGCCGCACGGCGCTCCTGCTGCCCGCTTCCTGAAAGGGCAGAGGGTCTGCTTGGATCTCATAAGCGGAACTGTTGCAGACAGGTGGCCTCATGATCTCATGTGCCCATCTTGTGCATCTATCATCTCAATGAAACCTCCCAGCACGTGCCAGCACGCTGGTCCCGCCAGTCATATTACATATACCGATACCCATGCTTCCTGTTTGCAAGCTCATTTGTCTGCAAGGCTGGGCGGACCGAATCTTCGAAAGCATTTTACGTCCTATTGGCACGGCCCTGAGCTTCTCACAAGCAAACGATGCCCTAAACCCTACACTTGCAATCGGTGCAAATGCATGCGGCATCATGTCGCCCAGCCTCTGGACAATTTGGATTCTGCAGGTTTCCGTGCAGACCTCTCCTGAACCAGGAGAGTTGACCCAACGATGCCAGAATGTAGTACAATATAATATCATACGGTGAAGTGGAAAAAGTACAGAATCGCACAATACAGTACAATATAGAATAATATAAGCGGTCATGATGCAAGGCCAACAAAAAAGCCACCGCCTCGGCTACGGAAAGCTTGCCATCGGCCTGCTCCGATCCTGAGCACGACGGTGACAGGTCGCAGGCTCTCATATCTAGTGAAAACACATCGAGTGAAAAGTCACGAGAGAAAGAGTAACCCCCACTGTGACACTGTGGCGAACTTCTGCACCAAGTGCCGACCTAGACTCCAGCCTCATCCGCGCCCTGAGGGAGTGGCTAGGACAGGCTCATGAGCTGCTGCACGCACGCTGCACGAACCACACAAACCTAAGAACATGGTCTTGTAGGCATGCATGTTCACACTGCTTCCCCGACAGGCCTGCGGCACCTGTAGCACCGGCAGCACCGCTTCACTCACACTCAAACGTTCCGAGAATGTCCTTGGAGCAACGGTGGAAATTCGAAATGTCAAATGCGACGGAAGGAGTCAAGACAGTGCCATGTCAATGAAGCACTGATTGGGCCAGGCATCCGCTCGCGCGACCCGGAGCCCTTGGTTGCAAAATGTCCCTAGAAGGTATGTTGCGTGTTCCAAACAGAGACAGAAGGACAGCTGAACGGGCACCCCTATTTGGGAAATACCCCACATGTGAATGCCAACTTGCGCCCAGTGTCATCTGTGTAGCCGCGCTGCAAAACAGCTTCGCTGTTTCGGAGCCTCTCGCTTTCGCGAATGTGAAACTCTGAGTCCTCCTCGGAGGTGCCTGCGAGGATCGAGGGTTTAGGGTTTAGGGTTTAGGGTTTAGGATCTAGGGTCTAGGGTTTAGGGTTTAGGGTTTCGGGTTTAGGATCATGACGCCACAAAGCTGGGTGGCCGTTTTCAGCACTCTGCAATATGTTCCTGATTGTATAGCTTCGGCTACCCAGATGGGGAAACCCAAAACGGGCCCATAAGATAGATCAATCGGGTTCCACGGAGCCCAGGTGCTGCGCATCAGACGCTTTCGAAGGTGGAAAGTGAGATTGGCATCCTTGCTCTGCACGAAGGCTGGAGTCCTGAGCTATAGTCATAAGGAGTCGGAAGCTTTGTCTTGTCTACGAGGTGTACTATGACCATGACCGATTTTTACTGGGCTCATCTCTCGGATCATTCGCTCTATGACGCAGCCGCGACTCGGTGTTTGCACGGCAAAGCTGGGCGCTTTGTGGGCTGCAGAGTTGAGCAACGAAAGCAGACTCCTTTAGGCACAGGCTCCCACCGCAACGCTGCCGCGACTACCGCCCAAGTAACAACCGAAGCAGTCGGGTGTATATGGCAGAATCGAAACTTCACGGCTCAAGTTCTCCTGTTGTAGTCCTTCATCATCGCCTTAGACCAGGCCAGACCACATGACACACAGAGACACAGAGAAGCTAAAGCAGCCGGGGCTTGGTTTAACTGGCTACAACTGACAAGGCGGCCTTGATGGGGAGGTCATTGGCATCTGCCCCAAATGGCTGATCGATCTCCATGGCTATATGCATCAGCGTCCAGAACGATCCTTCACGATGCGCTACAAAGCTCCAGGGTGCATGAAGTCAGGGGCTACTTGCCAGCTTCTTCGTTGCACGTAGCTACCTTTTGCAGCGATCCCTGCTGAGCAGCATGGGCCTGTGACTAGGAATGACATGATCGACGCCCACCACCACGACCTTAGCAAGGCACCACTTTTACACAAACAAACCTGCTGTGATGGCTTGCTCTTATGCTCTTGGGTTGCATCCGAGAGGCGCTATGACCAGGCTTGCCAGCATGGGAGTCACCAGCCAATGCACGACCAGCCTTTGCATGCTTGTACGTTTTACAGTTTTACAAGCAGCTGAGCTGATCTGAACCGCGTGACATACCAGTAAGTCAAGCAGCATGCACACAAGCATCTGTGCATAAGGAAACGGAAATGGAATGTCCTTGTGGGTGCGCCCATTCCAAGCACAAACTCTTCGAACTCAGGACTACGGTCAGCCAGTCCTTTATCTTGCGGGCGTTGTTGAGAGTGACAATACCACGTGACAGTTCCTTCATGCGAGCGTCAAGAAGCACATGGTGCCTGTTGAGAAGATGACAACAACCGCAACAACCGAGTCCTGAAAAGCTCGTGACAAAATGGGCGGAGGTACTTCGACGACTCCTGGCATGTTTGTCGGGATGGACTCGGCGCATGGCCGAATGCTGGCACCACTCCCTCACATGCCTGCGTCGTGAGACTCCACAATGAGCTGCTGAACCCACTGAAGGAGAACCTCCGTCACAACGCCGATTTTTCTGGCAGTCAGCTGTGCTACTACTACACCATGTCCGGCGAACGCACCTCGCACTGGTCATTTGCGGCCTCGAGGAATTCGAGATGCCCTGGAGCAATTCCCTCCTGGCCAAAGTCTCCAAGTTCATGTATGGCAAAGCCGGCGTGCAGCAAAAGTCAGCCGTTTGAAGCGCAAACGAAAATCAACAGTCCGTATCTAGGATTTGCAGGGAGTCGTCTGCGTCGGTGTCGCACACCTCATGTGTCGAGTGGCTTCATTGTATCGAGTGGCTTCATGCCTCAAGCCGTAATCAAGCACTTTCTTTCAAAAAATCAGCCCCTGCCTGTTGAAGGGCTGCGCAATACATCATGCTGGCAAGGCGTACAAGAAGCTGCCGAAACGCGTAAACCTTCGATCTGCATTCTTGAAGCAAAAGGCAGACATAAAGAGGCCACGTTGCACCTCTGCAGCCTTCTCGGGCTTCCGGGATGCAAATGCAAACAATGATGAGATCGCATTGAACCTGCAAGCTGTTTTGGCTTCAGGTGATCCGGCATGAGCCCTTCAGATGTCTTGAGTAGATCACATCCCGACACATTCTGGTCTGTCTGTGTCCGAATATCTGAGTTCTCGGCCACTCACCACGAACTTGGCTAATCAGGGTCGCTCCCTCCCAAAAGCGGGAGTATGCCTCGCTTGCGGCAGCTGCAACCATTTTCATGCGCAGGCGGTGCCCCTGCCTGGTTGTTCCTGAAAACAACCAGAAAGCCGAGGACGAATGTGTACCCAGCCCATATGACGTCCACACCTGAAACACACAAGGCTGGTGCAGTGTTGCTCGGTTAGCATTCTTCACGCACGTCGCCCCCAAATTCGATGCGTGGAACATTGTGAAGTCAGAAAACAAGGAGGACCGAGTCAGAAAATGGAAAGGCGTGAGTCAGAAAATCGAGGAGACGCAAGTCAGAAACAAGACGGCGAGTCAGAAAACCGCTCCAAGCACACACGGGTTAACCTTTACAACGAAACGTAACGTTTGCTAAGTAGCCGTCTATCTCTTCTAGGATAGGACCCTACTTTGTAGAAATGTATAGACCCCTACCCCTACCCGTCTATCCTCAAGGGGGATGGACCCCTATCTACAGGGTCTACCGGAAACCGAGAGGTACCCACACATAGACATAGGCACCTCCATAGGTTGGATAGGGCCCTATACATGGGGGGGGGGCCTTTAACGTAGACCCATATGCGGGCGATAGACCCCTGTCGTTTTCAGATAGGTCCCTATGCGCGTCGAACGTCTCGAGATTCCGCGCAAGCTTGATTCAAGCATTGATGAGTTTTTGAAACAACTCATTACGCGATTGTGTTTGCAAATTGGGGGGTGGGGAGGGGGGGCTGCGCCCTCTCCAAATGCAAGCTTCCTTCAAAAGCATTGTTTTCAAATCCGTCATGCGAGACCCTAAAACCCCCAAACCCGAAACCCTAAAGACCCCTAAACCCTAAACACCACAAACACCCAAATCAATAAACCAAAAACCCTAAGAAACCTAAAAAACCCTAACCCTAAAAGCCCCTAGACCCTAAATCGTAAAAACACCCTGAATCCCAAAAACCCTAAGCCCCGAATGCTGAAACCCCTAAACCCTGAACTCCGTCACGAAGGTGGAACCCTCAGAACCTCAACAAACCCATAAACCTAATCCCAAAAAAATCCGTGCACCCGAGCAACCCCTAAACTCAAAACCCCAAAAACCCGAAACCCTAAAAAACCGTAAGCCTTAAAACCCAAAAACTCCTGAACCCTAAACCCTACATACCCCTAAACCCTAAACCTCAATATCCCCGGTTTTTTTCAAGCCGTGCCAGCTTGCTTCAAAAGCACACATAAATCTTTGTCGAACCCATCATCCGAGCTTTGTGTTTGCACATGGGGGGGAGGAGAGGACTGCCCCCCTCCCCTGCCCCCGCTTGTTCAGCCGTGCAACCTTGCTTCAGGCATTTTTTGTAGTCCATCACGCAACCATTGTGTTTGCAAGTGTTGTGTTTGCAAATGGGAGGGGGGCCTGCTTGTTTCGACGCGCAAGCTTGCTTCAAGCATTTTCCAAACCCATCATGCGAGCATTATGTTTGCAAATGGGGGGGGGGGGGGCGGGCTGCCCCCCCCCCCCCCCCCCTGCGTGTGGCGTGTGTTGTGTTCACAAATGGGGCGGGGGGGCCCCCCAACCCCCCCCCCTCTTTTCAAGAGCGATAGGCCCCGATCTCTTTCTGATAGGTCCCTATGCCTAAAAACGCCTAAGCCCTAAACCCTTAAAACCCTAAACCCTAAACCCCTAAACCCCAAACCCTTAACCAGATCCGAAACCCTAAACCCTAAAACCCCTAACCCTAAAAACCCCGAAGCCCTAAACTCAAAAAGCCCCTAAAACCCCAAATCCCAAAAACCCCTAAAGCCCAAAAACCCCTGCGCCTTAAACCGAAAAAACCCTAAACCCAAGAAACACCCAAAGCCTAAACCCTAAAATGCCCGAAACCTAACCTAAAAACCCCTAAACCCTAAACCCTAAGCCTCAAAAACCCCGAAACCCTAAACCCCGAAAAGAACCTAAACCCTAAACCCTAGAAGCCCCTCAGCCCTAAACCGAAAAAACCCTAAACCCTACCCCAAACCCTAAACCTTAACAAACCCCAACCCCTAAACCCTAAAAACCCCTAAGCCCTAAAAAACCCCGAAAAACCCCTAAACCCTCGAACCGCATGGGAGAGGAGTTTCCTTCGGGTTTTCTGGCAGGGGTTCAGGGTGTTTTCGACTCACGTTTCTGGGGGGTGTTTTCTGTCGGGGATGCATCACATTTTCGACTCAGGGGTCTGCCCTGTTCTCGACTCAGGTCCGTCTGGTTTTCGACTCAGGGGCCTTGACTCATGAGCACTTGTTCCGACTTGACCCTTACTTATTCTAATCGAGGCCTTGCCAGATGCAGCAGACACCGGTGCTGAGCATGAGTCGGAGGTGACACAGTGACTATCCCGAGACAGCTTCGAGTGCCAGTCATACTAGGGTAAGTAAACATCAGGAGTCAGAGACCATATCCATGCTTTCAACGTCTAGCAAAGCAACACCCCTCTGCCCAGCATCTGGCCTTCCATATTCTGAATTGCATCTGGTACACCATCACCATCTGCGTCTGGGGTGTACCTGCTCACACAAAGCATAGCTTTGCTAGACAACAAGATGACCAAAGCATCATCCTGGACTGAAGCCGAAAAGAAACAAAACCCGGAATCAGTCGCTCCGCGGCATGACATGTCCTCACACATATCCCCTTCCCCCCAGCCTCCGAAGCATCCAGTGCAGCAAACCCGCAAGGCATGCATTTGGAAGCGCCCAGCATAATCCCTTTGGAAAAACGGAGCCTCCACAGCAGGCTCCACTCTCAGGCAGGAGGGCAGGTGCTCTTGAGAATTGTTCCTTGAGGCACTTAGCGGCGGACCGTGGATTCGGAGAATCATAAGAAGAGTCCTGAGCGAGACTGAGCGAACGGAGCAGCCATAATCCAATCTCGAAGGACTCTCGATATGCAAACGTGGGAGTTAATTCAGCCCAACTGCCATTGTCTTGCGTCGTAGACAATCATCCTTCCTGGACCCTCCGCTTTCTTGGTATGCTGTTCTTACTACCGTGAGAAGTAACGTGAGGAGTGAAGGACTGCCACGGTGTTGCTTGTTGTTGCTTGTTGCTCTGCTGATACTCCTTTGGCCCGGCAGCGTGCTGCACTTTTAGCAGCAAAAAATTGGGCCAATGCTCACGGAAGCATATTTGCGAGCCTAACCGAAGCATGATGGTTCAGAGTGTGCTGTGAAGACAGAAGACAGCAGGATCTGACATGCCTGCTTCTGCTGAGGGTCCTTGAATATGACCATGCACCTGCAAATTCGGAGATATTGTCAGTTACAGCCTTCATGGCTTCAGCGAAAAGGCTGTGCAGCATGAAGCACAACTGCAAAACAAAGATCATCAAAGGCAAAGGCTCAACACCCGGATTGTCAGCGTGCCGGTATTTCACGGTCAGCACCTGGCACACGGGCAAGAAGCGCGCACCAAGGAGCGTCATGCCATCGACAGCTTGGAGGCTCATGGTACTTAGTAACTACTTAGAACTGTACTTATAACTTATAACTGTACTTATAACCATATTAAGGCACTTAAGGGGCTTATAAGTGCCATGAACCTCCAAAGAGGTGCTCACATCTGCCTGGTGCTGTGGCACAGTCTCGACGAAGCATTTCTCCTCGCCCTGTGCAGAGCAGCCGAGCAGTCTTGTGCAACCTCCGCTCAGGTCCGTGCACCTCATGGAGATTGAAGTAGGCTGCCTGTGACGAACAAAAACATCAGGAACTGCGGCTTTTCACACAAAATGAGCACCTGGGCTTGGATGCCCAGGATGACCACTGGTACAACAACCTGCTGTTGGGTCAGAGCTTCTTTCTCTCTCCCTTCACCGGTGTGCCGCATAGAAACGCACTAGAACTGCTAACGCTCTACTAAGGCAGATGCACGGAGCGCCCATGTCATCGCACCGAAGCCTGTCCAAGCTGAGCTTTCAACTGCGGCAAGACCCTCAGGCCCACAAACGCCCACAAACACCCAACACCGACTGCGCAGGCCTTCAGAGCTAAGGAACTGTCAGCTAGCCCATCCCGCAAGCTGAGAAATAGTTGGCTTCATGGCAATGCTATAGGACCATGGGTCAACATTGCCGCAGCAAGGCACTGCTTCTCACGACAGTCAGAGCCCGAAGCTTTCTTCCACCCCTCATTGCGCAGGCGAGGCGCTTGCAGCACCGATTGATGCCACTCGCTCAGCCCTACAGCTTTCCCGCCTACTATGTTGCTGCCACGCGCTGCTGCTACTGACAGAGCTGTTCCTGTGGTAGACTGCACGGTGACTCAGTGATGATGCTCACATGCCACGGCACTCGTCTCCGTGACCAGCTTGCGCAGCCATGTCGCCTCCAAGCACTGCCAGTCTACAAGATGAGCTAGAGCCGCTCTCAGCTACGTCAACAGATGTCAACAGCATCACGTGTTCAAAGTTGCTGATCGGTTGAGTGCAGCAGCAGCCTTCCGCCAATCCTTTGAAGGATCTCCCCTGGCTCACATGTGCTAAGCATGGCACTACACAAATATGTGCGCTTCTGCTTCTGGGCCAGCAGTGCGTGCCACACAGAGCCGACAGGCAAGCGAGACCCAACTTGACCACCATCCATTGCGCTCTTCCCTGCATCGACCGTCATCTCGTAATTGCCTGCACGCAGGCTCGTAAGAGAAGCAGTGCGAAAGCACCACTCCGCAAGCACTTCAGAAGCAGAGTAGCGCACCAAATTCTGCCCAGTTGATTTTGAGCTTGTCGCCGTCCAGGGACCAATGCCTCGAAAGTGCATTGCTTCATCTAGCGATCTACCTAGTGCTCCCCAGCCCCTACGTTATGTACAAAACCACCCAACGGCAAGTTACAGTCGGGATAGGGCTTGAGGACTATGGCGTCGTTTCACCCTGCTTTCCATACCGTGTTATTCTCGAGACATGCTCTTCCCTCGTCATGTCGTGTCAGCTGAGCATCGATCTGCGAAAGTGAGACTTTAATCTGCCGCGGAGCAGAAAAAAACTGAAACAAACAGAAAAGGATCTTCTTTTTTCCTGTGCTCTTCAACTCACTCTTCAGACTCAAAAGACTCGGACATTGCATGATCTAGCCGGTTTAAGGCTTCTGCGGCCTTGGCGGCATCCTGGTCCTTCCGAATTCGAATCAGTTGAAGCTGCTTTGCATCGTCTGCGTTGAAGTGCCCAGTGTCAACCTGATGTTGCCGAAGAAGCCAGAGATCTGGATATGTTTGGCCGCAGACCATGCACTCATACTGCGAACTGTGGCTGCGTGAGCCGTGTGGCATGAGCTCCGGTAGCTCCATGTGCCGCATGGGCTGGAGCTGGTGCGGCAGCTCACAGGCACCGGCACTTGGCATCGGGCTGCCATCGACACAGATCAACTCCGCCAAGTCCGGGTTCTTGCTGGCAGCCTTGCCAGCGGCTTCCCTGACGAGCTTTCTGAGACGCTCCACAACGTCAGGGTTTACGGTGCTGTTGAGGTTTCTTCCCAACTCCTTAGCAGGATGGGCCACGGACAACGAAAAGCACTCAAAGCAACAAAAAGAACCTGTTTGTAAAACGACCTGACCCCACTCTCCTTCGCAGAGTCTCGATGGGATCCTCGACATGTAGGCCAGCTTTCCTCGTTTTTCCCCAGAGATTGGCAAAGCAAGGTGCGTCTGTCGTTTTCCGCGACCCCTCGCGCACAGAGACCACTTCTTGCTGCCAGTTGAACTTCTCAGAGAAGAAGTCGAAGAAATCCACGAGCAGGTCTGCAGAAGACCTTCCGCTTGGGCCCTGATGCGGCTTGTCGGCCACGTCCTGAAAAGTCAGGAAGCACGTGTCAAAGCGGTCGTCCGGATCAGGTTCTCTGGCGTCTGCTCTGGCCAGCTTGTGCAGGGATGGTAGGCCGTCGCACACTTGGACCTGCCACATTTTCATATCAAGCAGGGCCTAACATACAGTCCAGAACCCAACCCCATCCAAAGTGTGCCAAGGAGCATAGTAGATTGCCTCGCAGGCAAGTTTCGGTGCTAGGCCGACCACAGGAAACCCTTCTTCCAACGCTTTCCGAGGCCCCAACCATGAGAGCAAGGGTGTAGGACGATAGGAGTCCTTGGGTTGCCACAGGAGCTGTTCCTAAGTCTTCTTCTGTCGCAAGGCTTTCGTGTCACTTTTGAAACTTTAGCCCCATTCAGTCCAGCAGCCGTCCTCTTTCCCGACAATGCCCGCACTCCGTGCCCAGTGGCGTAACGCCAAGATTAGGCTTTCGAGCCTTTGATCCAGCTGCAGGTATGCACCTCGACATACTCAACCCGACTTATATAACCAGCAAAGACGAACCGCGCAAGACACCACACGCCTGCCAAGCGATTCTGAACTGAGGCGTGCACGAATCAAATGGGAGCTGTACAGTGGCATCAGGCGCTGGCAGCTCAATATGCATCGGCCGGCTGAGTAGGCTCGCCACAGGTTGCCACTCAGGTGGACCGAGGCAAACTCCTCGATGCTTGCTGATCTTGCCGTGCGTGCCCCAAGGTTATCAGCCGTCCGCATCCCCAGTTGCGAGCATCTGGCCAGTATCCTGCGCATCTGTTGGGCCCTGGTTACAGTGACCGTCTTCACATCAGCAGCCCGAGAAGGTGTCATGGGGATGTAGACAGTCGCATCAACTTCGGCATCGCTTTCTCCCACGCCCGTAAAGCAAGAGCCATACCCCAGAACTTCCACGTCCGGCCCCAGCAATTGCTTGGCAATCGCCTCAACTTTTGATAAGAGCCTGGCTCTCCTCAAGCGATCGCTGTGCTGCGAGGCCACAGCTGCTCGGAAAAGCTCCATCTGCTCATCGAGCCGGTTGCCTCCCAACAAACACACGCCAAGGTCTGTTTCGTGCTGCACCCCAGAAGTTCTGGCGCCTCTCCCCTTGCCCCCGACAATCATAGACAATAGCAAGAGCAATCACGGTTCCTTTTGAGGGCGACCGAGCAGATCGGCACTGTCAGCACACGTTTACAGACATGCCTGTCTCATGTGGCGGACGTGTTGCAGATTTCGACTTCTGATGCTTCATACGCCTTCCTGTTTCATGCGTATTCCTGTGCATCCTCTGCTGGACTTTGAACATGCTGCCCCGGCACTCATTCTAGGTTTTAGGGAACTTTAGAAAAAACCATGGAAGCAACGGTTTTAAACTCTATTCCCCGAGTTAATATTGTTGGTCGTTCTGGGCTTGTTTAATCCCCTACTCTGAGGGGAACTATCTTGGGGCCACTTGTTTGCCAGCGGCTTGGGGAAGGAAACAGCGACCTTTCGAGTTGCTTGTTTCTCTCCCTCAAGCCTTGAAAACGACTAGCTCCCGAGCTAACTGGGCTCTAGGGGTTTCGAGAAAGAGAAACAATTAACTGCCGAGAAAATTGCGTCCTAAGGTCCTAATGGTTTTGCTCAGGATTTTGAGTGCGTTTGGAAAAGAAACAAGTAACTTGGGAGTTAAGCGTTTTCTGGGGTGTATAATACTGGGTGAGAGAGGTGAGTGTTACATCTCTAGCTCCTAGAACAAAGTGAAACATGAACTCTCTTTACAGGGTTCCAGGGTCTTTTGGGGGGGTTATGATACCGGGTGAGAGGTGAATGAGGGTTCCTTGCCAACTCACCGCACCATCTCAAGGCGTGACAGGGAGAGAGCGGTTGACCTTCACCTTTCTCCTGTCGTACACCATCCATCTCACGACACCTTAACTACCCAAGACACCCGCCCGAGCTAACTTGTTTAACTCTTGTTACCATTGTCTTCCGAAACTTCAGGCTGTATGCAAGGGAGGCCAGCCCACAGGTAGCCCCAAGCTTAAATAGGGCAAAACCAGGTGCAACATGAAGAGCCATCAGCACATCAGCAACCAACATGACTGGCCTTGCCCAGCAGCAAGGAAGATCGGTTCTGCCCGTGGCTGCGGGCCACGTGCTCTCCGGAAATACGTCGACGCAGCAAAGCCGGCGAGGACTGTAGCCAGTCTACGAGTCTCCCAGCCTGGAGGCAAACAATTTTGAGTTTTTTCGGCTTGGGCCCTGTGATTTTCAAGGGCGTTCCTCACGGGTGACTCAAACTTTACTACATCGGGAAAAGACCTGGCAAGAGCCTGGATGGCCAACATCATCATCCTGGTGACCTTGTAGAGCAGATGGTTGAGGGCACCAGCAGCAGGCGCAGGCCCCACATCCAGGAAGTGGACGCCGATGACTTATCGGAAAAAACACCGCTCTGTCGGGCACCAAAGACATGCAGAAGCGTGCACGCTGCGCGGTACATCCTGTGGCACTGTGCCGAAATGCTGCAGCGGGGCGCACAGCATCTCGCGTTTTCTTACTCTGCTCTGTCACTGCTCTTTCTTCCTCTGCTCTGTCACAAAGGGGAGAATGGGAGCTTGAGGATCGGGGCTTACAGTTGCATTCACTTACAAGCTCGTCCCAAACTGAAGTCGGATGAAGAAGTCTCGTGTGCTTTTGCACAAGGATTGCGTACGTCACACCTCCGTCTTTCCTCAAGCCCAAGCAGGCTGAGCTCCGCAAGGTCTGAGGTGAAGGCGCATGTGCAGGAAAATCGTCGCACTGAAAATGGTTGTAGCCATCGCCCTGGACTCAGCAAGGTTTAGGGGTTCAGGCGCAAGCAACAAGTCCCACAGTTTGCACATGCCATGCAAGCATTGCCTTGAACTTCACCGGAAACTTGCCGCCTGACCTCCACACACAGATTTCAAGCCATGCCAGGTCGCAAAAAGGCCCCTGCCCAACCGTCAAACTTGCCAACTTAGGTCACCGCCATTCAAAGTCCCACTCAGAGCCAGCACCGTCTCCGAGCAGAAGAGCCTCTCCACAGAATCCGCCGTGACTTTCACCAGAGTGACACAAAGCCTAAGCTGATTCTTGCGTCAGCTGAACTCAGGGGCCTCAACAGGTGACAAGGCGCTTTTGAAGGCAGCCTCAACCAGGAGCAAGTCGCATTGGGTCTCGATAAGAACATACTCCCTATCGTCTATGGGGATCAAAAAGAACCCATAAGGTATGTCTACCCCACGTTCAAATGTAGGGCTCTTGAGCAAAGAGATTAGCTGATGCCCAGCCGTCGGTCCTTACGCCAGTTCTTCTCATCCTCGGTCTTGGGAATGGCGCTCCCCTTGGTGTAGAGAGAAGATGAGAGACAGAGCTACGTGGGCTCCTTTGGCTACACGTTTCTAGCATCTGGGCATGTTTCCCTAAACCCTAAACCCTAAACCCTAAACCCTAAACCCTAAACCCTAAACCCTGAACCACATTACAGCAGAGCCGGGTTCCAGGCGTCCATGGACTTGGTTGCCGGATCGAATTTCAGCTCGTACCTTGGAAGCCGCGATGGCGCCTCTACGCTTTCAAAAGCCACGGCACCTGCCACAACGCAAGACGAATCCGAGTCCCAGACTTCCCAAATTTCTTCCAATCGATCCTTAGCCGAAGCTTATGATTGAAGGAGATGCTTGGCGTTCCAATCAGCGATGGCACGCTGTCCGCGCGCTGTCCGCCCAGGCCGACCGGCTTAGGGCCGAGAGGGCGTTTTGGAAGTTGCCCTTCACCTTAACATGCCTTCTCCTTCCACAGCCCGAACTTCGGTTGCCACCCGCTTCTTCTTGCTGTCGTTTCTCGGCAGGGTTGGGACCCCAAAGTAGTGTCTAGGTGGGAAACTGGCGTGTCAAGGATGCTCTTTCCGGTAAGAAGGCATCATTTAAACCAACTGCTTTGTGCCACACCAGCTTTCCGCTTTTCAGAAAGCTGAGCCACTGAGCCTTTTGAGATCGAAACTCCAAATGCGTAAGCCTGACAGGCAGCCTGGATCGACAGTTCCCATCTACGTGTGATAGTCTGTTGTCTTGCTGCATGGGTTGATGAGCGGCCAGCTCGTGCAAGAAGTGCAATCAAACCCGTAGCGTCTCATCCACTGACTTCCGACGCTCTTGCGAAGGCCAAGTCTCTTCACGACGTCTCCGTCAAGCTCCCACCTATGCCACACGGCTTTCACTACCAAGAATCCATTGATGCCGAGTCAGACCAGAATCACAGGCAGCCTTGCAGGTGCCTGAAACTTTGGACAGAAAAAGTTGCCTGCCTGAGAGATGACAAGACATGGCTACTTCGGATCACGACAGCTGCTGAGAAGGCTGAACATGATTTAAGGTTCAGTCGGGTCTGAAACAAACTGGAAACGAACCGCCAGACCAGCTGAAATCGTACCTGGGCAGGGAACAAACTCGAGCGAGCGCAGCAAAGATCAGCTGTCCGGCCAAGGAAGCCGGAAAAAGGAATCAGGGCAACTGCAAGTTGCACTGGGGCCCCGACCAACCAATCACATCGTCCCTAAGCGGGCGCAAACTTTGCAAAAACATCGCTTTCTTTACTGTCACTCTTCATATTATTTCTTTTTGTCGCCTATTGTCGCTACGTTTATTTATTGCATTCTTTGCATTATCATTGACTCAGGAGCACTCTCGAAGCCTCAGGAAACCGCTCCTGGGGAACCGGCGGTTGAGCCATCGTGACTCTCCAGCTCGGTGGCTCGAGCCCAAAATTGAAGTCTAGGTAGCAGGTTGTGTAGGCCGTGTTTGCCGGGCGCCGTGAACGCGAACATGCTTCGACTGCCGTCACAAGACGCAATTTTTGAGAGACGGGTGCTCTCATCAGATACTTTGCTGTCAGCTGTGAGACATAAACCTGAAAGCATGACTAATAAAATGCCTGTCGTTCGCAGGAGCAAATTGTCGTGGTCTGTTGCCAGTTGCGGGTTTTAATTATCCAGGGTATGGTAAGACCTCTACACAAATGTCAATGGACTTGGTCTCTTTACAAAGGGATGCCTTTAGATCCCAAACAGGATCCGGGCCTTTTGGCAAAATGCAGCAATTCTTGTCAGCAAAGCTATGCTTCACAACTTCCCGCGATTTCTGCTTGCGGCTGCCCGTGCCGGCAGTCACAAGCATGGATGTTGCAGGCGCGCCCTCTAAGGAGCCTAGGCACTTCATCTCGAGCATGCAACGCCCCTTGGCCTTCTTGAATCCAGCCCCATGTCGTCCACCCGTCTCCGTCGCCAGGACCATTAGCCGAAAGGGCTGCGATTCTTGACCTACCTTCAGCTCAAACTCCGGACTGATCAGCTTCTCCGCGTGGGACTCCAGCTTGTGTCCGTCTACGCACCAGCGGATACGTTGCCCGCCTCTCTCTGCAGGATTGCACTCCAGCGTGCCGGGCCTCAGATGCAACGGCACACGGTGGCTGTAAGGAACACACTGAAAGGAACATCCTCAAAAAAAGAGAGAGAGAGAGAGTGAGAGAGAGAGAGTGAGAGAGAGTGAGAGAGAGACTGAGAGAGAGTGAGAGAGAGAGCGTGTGTAGGAGGGCGTAACAAAGCCCCCCACGCCAGCGGCTCCGGTAGCTCCTGCGCTTGCCTGCAACAAAGGCTCGGTCCGCGGATGTCACTTAGCAGCATTCTGCACATTTTAAGCACAAGAGTCACAAGAGTATTGCTTCTCGTCTTTGAGGAAAAAGACCGCAAGCAACCAGCTAGGCAGGGGCATCTATCAGTATCCGTCAGCCTCTGCTTGCCCTGCGCCGGCTTTTTGTCACCAGGTCGCGGCGATGTGGTGCGACCCAACAAGCATGGCTGCTCCTCTTGGGCATTCAGACTGGAAAGACGGCGCCTGCGTGTAACTTCAACCAAAACGAGCTCTCAGGGCCTGTGGCAAGGATGCATCTTGGCCCTGATCGGGTTGTGAAGGCGGCTGTGGTATTTGGACGCTTGGATTTTCTGGAGCCACCAACAACAAAGGCACCTCACACATGGGCACGGCTTCTGCACGAGCATGCGAGAGCATCGGCGACTTCCATCGTCCAAGGCGCTCCAACATAGCTCACCTCTGGCGCAACTGCCTGTGGAGGTGCCTTGGCTTTCGCAGCTGAGCGTTTTCCAAGGGCTCCAAGGCAACCAGCATCATTCTTCGCTAATGCCAAATGCCAGGATGCTGCAAGGGTAGAGGCAGCCGGAGGGGTCGATGCAGTTGTTGCATCAACTGGCCTCATCAAAGATGTCGAAGCTGCAGGAGCAGTTGGGCTCGCAGGAGCCGGATACCCCGTCTCCACCACGAGACGCTTGTCAACCTCAGCTTTCACTGGGCTTTTGAAACCGAATCGTGAGTCCGCAGAAGCTGCGGCAAACAGGTTTCAAGCACGCAGCTGACAGCTGTGCTTCCATCATAAGCTGCTGCTCCCACAGATCTGGAGTATTAATCCGCTGCCAGCCTCAGAGAAAGAAAGGCAGGGGCAACCCGAGAAGCCCTGCAAGCTGCATGTCTGCTGCACATAGGGACGCCAGCCATCCTGACAAAGAGATGCAAACCCTAAACCCTAAACCTTAAACCCTCATGAGTTCGCATTCTGATCCAAGCAGCTAGGCTTCTTCTGCGCCGGCGTCCGCTTGCCCGAAGCCACTGAGGACATCTGTTCCATCATGAGCTGCTGCTCCCAGAGATCAGGGGTATTGAGCCGCTGCCAACCTAAGACTTTAAGACGATGTGACCTGTCTAGGGTTTAGGGTTTAGGGTTTAGGGTTTAGGGTTTAGGGTTTGGGGTTTGGGGTTTGGGGTTTAGGGTTTAGGGTTTAGGGTTTAGGGTTTAGGGTTTAGGGTTTAGGGTTTAGGGTTTAGGGTTTAGGGTTTAGGTGTCGAGCACGGAAGCAGACGGAAGCTCCTGCCGAGGGGCTTGGCTTCTTTTGGGCAGGTTGCCGCTTGCTCGATGCCTCCTGGTGGGATCCGCTTTCCAGACACCATGAGAACACGTGCGACATGAAGTTGCAACGGACAGCTCGTGTTCTTCACTCAGGCGTGCGGTTTAGACAGCTTAGGTTCATCGGCTGGCTCGGTGCCGTGTGCTTTGAGTTGGCTCGCTGCATTGGGGGAAAGAGATGGCCGTTGTCCGACCCTGGTTGCCGCAACTAGCTGCTACTGCGATGTCGGTAGATATTCGTGCTGCGAGACGTTTGTGAAAGCAATTTCTCGATAAGCTGAAGGTATAGCGGACCCCCTTCACCGTCGAGAGCCTCGCTGACGCGAACTGGTCTTGGTTGAACCAAGACCAGTTGGTGCACCCCTTAAGGGGTAAACAACCCCTAAATAACCCCCTAAGGTCCCTTACAAGGGTCCCCCACTTTAGTCCCCTGAGCCCCAAGAAGACGTACAGGTTTCATGTAAGCCCCCTGCTCCTCGTCGTGCGCTTCGTAGGCTTGGTCCTGGGCCTCATGATCGGCGGGTGGCTCCTCATCCAAGTCGAGGCCCAATGCACGAGCCGGAGCGGTGCCAGCACGTCCCAGTTCAGGTCGCTTCTCCTGTCCCAAGTGTCTAGTGCGATATTCATGCCAAGCGCCCTGGATGGACAATGTATGCACTGTCCTTGATTTGCAGGAAGGTGTTCACCACGCACACCTGCGGGACACCGTGCTCATTCTGCACTCGGGGACCCGGAACACACATGCTCGAATATGTACGTCGCCGGACAAGTTGTGGCCAAAACTTTCTGGCAATGGCGCCGCCTCGTGCTCTGGCAGTTGCGGGAGCGGGTCCATAGCTATGCAGCGGTAGACAGCTTGAGCCTGTCGCCTCGTAGCGTGTGGTCCTAAGGACAGATGCCATACAACATGCCAGCTAAAGGTCATGAGCTCATCTCTGCTGCGAAGAAGAGAGCTGCCCAAAGAGAGTTTTCTCGCAGAGCGACCTGCCTATGCAGGATGGAACCTTCGGCATCTTTGCAGTGACTCTTTAAAAAAAAAGGGCAGCAGCTAAATCTTCACGTCTGGGAACGGTGGTCGCACTTCATCGACCTCCACATGGCTGGAAGCTTTAGGGGACTCCAGGGCTGCACCATCTGGGCAGCTAGCTGAAGTCCAGGCCTGTAGACATTTTCGAGAACTTGGGCATCGTCAGCTCATCCCAATCAACCTGTCAGACAATTGCCAGTGCCGCGCTGAAGCGCGCTCTTGCTGAAGGGCCAATGGAAGCTAGGCCGTGCCGGGCCTCGCATTCATCCTCGCACTCGGTTTGCGAAAGTTCCTGCTGGCTCGGAGCTCGGGCATGATAAACTAAAATACAAGAAACGACTCTCTCCTGGATCTTGGCTTGATGATTATGTACCTTCAACAGCACCAGGTATTCCCAATGGTGGGAAATGGACTGTAGGAACACAGCGGGCGCCTTTTCCAGAATGTCCTCGCGCCCTGCAGCCTTGAGGCGGTACTCTGAAAACCAGTCGTACAACCTGGGACTCCAGCGCACAGAACATCTCACGTGACTCACCTGACTCACGGCCCCCTGTGGCTTCTGCACGCTTGACTAAGCCTGACTAAGCTTCTGGCCAATCAAAGAATGCTCCGACAACTGGAAGGGTCGTAATCTCATAGACCTGACGCGCGCTCGACACAGCTGTCTAGGAGACGTCAAAGGACTTGCTAGACAGCTCAGCACCACGAATCTTTGTCGCTCTTTTTACGCCACATGCCTGGACTATTCGCCAAGCGCATTATCACCAAAGTCTTTGGGCGCAGGCCAATGTGGTCTCATTAGCGTGCCGTTTAGGCATTGATGGCATTGACATACCTAGGGCCCTGAAGCCGTGCAGCCTTTAATTCAGAATATGCTTCGACACATGCTCCTACCTTGGGAGCGACAGCCCTTGTGGTGAAACGTCAGAGCTCCACGCCTCTTGCCCGCACCTCGCAAGGCATTGCCAGGAATTCAATACAGGTTTAGCATCTAAGATGTCGATGCTTCGGATTAGGGCGCTTAGGGCATTTGGGGATTCGATTAGGAGGTGCTCGTCGATGCATTAACAAAGAAAGGGGTGGGATGTCTGAAGGGCGGCCTCCTCAAGCTCGCGAGCTTCGCGAAGATCCTCCAAGTAGGCCTCAGGCAACCCGAGTCGGTTGGTACAGCTAAAAGGATGCAAATTAAAGTCCGGAAGACCTGTTTAGGCCAAGTTTAGGCCAGCCCCCCAATGCTGAACTTTTTGTCACAAAACTACATTACCTTCTCCAGCTTCCGCAGTCTGCTCATGGAACCGTCATCAACCCTGCACACCATCCTCAAGGCTTGGCGGCTGTGGGATGGACTCTGGGGCCGGGTATAGGGCGTTCAAAGCGTTGAAACTGCATACAAGGCTGGAGGAAGGTGGTTGAGGGCTAGTTACTTTCGTGGCCCAAAACCCAACACAGGGGCAGCAGAAGGCCATCGGGTAGAAGAAAGCCAGGGTTTTCGGCTGTGGGGTACTTAAGCATGGATAGGCCTCAGAAAATACAGTAAGCTGCGCTCTCAGAACACCGCAACACCGCGGGAGGCTCCGATCAGAGTTTGGAGGGGGGGGGGGGGGGGGGGTGGGGCATGTGTTAACCGCGCAAGAGCAAAGTCCGCGGAGCCAAGAGCGATGCTACAGGGTTCCGCACTGTGTGACATGCACAGGAAGCCAGGTTTTTGCAGGACTTTAGGGATGTGATGTGGCCGACTTTCTTCTGGTTAGCTCCCGATCACGGTTTGCAAACATGAAGAAACCAATAAAAATGAACTGCCCAACTCCTACACCCTCCATATCGCAACCTCTTGGAAGCTGACAACTCTGCCTACTCACCCTGCAATCCCTGCAGAAGGAGCTCCTGGACCCTAAACCCTACTTACAAGCAGGGCACTGCAGGTCTGATGTACCCCTAAGTTTCGTTTCCTTATACTAGCAGTCCTTAATCGGGAGTGCAGTAACCCTAAACCCTAAACCCTAAACCCTAAACCCTAAACCCTAAACCCTAAACCCTAAACCTACCCCCTAGTAGAATCCCTCTTAAGGGCTAAATTAGTCTTAAAGGGGGGGGGGGGGACAGTCCACCAACCCTCTGAGTAACCCCCAAGGACCAGGCCCAGGTCAGGACGCAAACGATGAAGACAAGCAAGATCAGCCCGCAGATGAGCCTGGAAAGAAGCGGTAAGAAGAAGAAGAAGAAGAAGATAAAGAAGGAGGATCATAATAGTACTAATAATAATAATAGTAATACTGATCATAGTAATAATAAAAGTAATAACAATAGCAATAATAGTAGCAATAGTAATAATAGTAATAGAAAAAGTAATAGTAATAATAGTAACAATAATAGTGATAATAATAGTAGTAACAATCATAAAAATCATAATAGTAGTAATAGTACAAGTAATAGTAATAGTAAATGATAGCAACAAGAGTAATAATGAAGGTGACTTCCTTTGGACAGCGAGGCGCCGACCCCCAGGCATCTGACCACCTGTCCAGCACGTGGCCCCAGAATGCAAGGGGTTCGAAGCTGCGAGCTAGCATGTCCAGAGGGTTTAGGGTTTAGGGTTTAGGGTTTAGGGTTTAGGGTTTAGGGTTTAGGGTTTAGGGTTTAGGGTTTAGGGTTTAGGGTTTAGGGTTTAGGGTTTAGGGTTTAGGGTTTAGGGTTTTGGGTTCAGGGGGGCTTCAAGGCTTAACGAAGATGCTTGGATTCCAGGCTAGAGTTTTGCCCTGATGGGCTTAGATTTGGGATCTGTCGGCCATGGCCTGAAGGGCTCATCTGGCGGATAATCCTCTTGGTCATAGTAGTCGTAGTTTTGGAACGCCTCGGCATCTCGACCCGCCCAGAAGTCTTCGTGGGTAGAGAAACCCGAAAGCAGCCTAAGCCCACAACAGATCGCTCCAGGGCTCTGGCTGGTCTGGAGGCTGGCTTCCGAGCCTCTCTCCTGGCAGAGAGTTACAAAATGCACGACTGCACTGCGCTGAGTGGAGACTGTTCTTCATGAGGGCCGAACATGCAATCGCCACATGACTGCGTTCCTGTCGCACACTTCCTATCCGAGCCTGTCAGGCATGGGAGGTTTCATCGGTCTCTTGCCGCCGAAGCCTCAGCAGCCCCTTGTCCCCGTTTCAAGCCCCACATCCATATGTGCCCACAGAAAGCGCCACAAGGTCCTGACTGTTTTGCTCCGCGCCATTCCTCAGAGGCGACCTGGATGTCATGTCGTTGAGGAGAGCAGCTAGCAACGGCCTAACCCCTCAGCGGCAGCAGCTCCAGCCAAAAACGACTTGAGCACAAGACGGCGCGTCATCCTCGGTTGATCTCGGCTGTATCTGCTTGCAATTCATGCAGCCAAGTCCGCCGGAGTCCGCTGTGTGCCCTTCTTAAGCTTTGGACATCTTCATCTAGCCCCGGGCTTCTGAGGGGTATCGACGTCAGATCCTTTCACACACGTGCTCTCGCAAGGACAGGGCGCGAGGGCATTGAGCGCACTGAGAGCCAGCACACAAAGACCAACAAGACACTGGCCTGCATGAGGGAGAGATCATCAGTGTTGTCGTGGGCCATGGTGACCCTGACCCTGACAATTGCAAGTCGCATCATTGATCACTGGAAGAGTCTACTAGAGCTGGACTGCCACTTCATACATGTCAACTAGGCCTGGCAGATGGTCTCTGCTGTGAGCTGCAAACTTGAACCCAGAAGCCGACAATGCGGAGACAGTCCATCCGTCATGAGCCAACACATGGAAGCATGGCACAAATCTGCACAAACTTGCACAAACTTGCACAGCAAAGCGCACCCACTGCATCCCGACTATGCTGTAGATTCTGCGGAAGACGTCCATGCCTGCGATGACCTCACAAACATCTGTGGTGCAGACTGTCACGCAGACTGCGCATGACTGCACGACTGACTCGACCATCTGCAAAGGACGAAAGCTAGGCCGAGGTGGCCGAGACATGCGACACGCGTGACTCCGAGGCACTCCGACCGCCTCTGTGTTCCGCTTTAGCTTGCAGCGAACCCCCACATTGGCTTTCAAGCACCGGCTTTCGGGTCCGCGTTCGTACTTACTTCTTCCACCGAGCACTTTGTTGGCCAAGGCGGCTTGCACGCTGATCTAACTCATGAGCCGAGGCAAATCACACGGGCATTGGGCAAGAAGGATGCTGAACTTGCACTCGGGGCCTCTCCATCTCGTGTCACTGCATGAATGTGTCGCATGCCGTCCTCAACAAGTGGCACAGCCCCGGCAGGTCCCTAAGCGCATCCTACGAAGCGCAGCTGCAGAAGTAGCTGATTTCAACGAGCGAGTCCGCTGGACAACTCAATGTCACCAAGAAGCACTTCAAAGTCGCTTTTGATAACACCATTCGGGATTCGTTGCGCATCGTTGAATCAGCACTGCACTGAAGGACCGGGACCGTACAAGTGAGCAGTGTTGGGATTCGACTATCAACCTTCATTCACACCCGTCTTGAGTGAACATCAACCAAGCGGAGCCAACCCCAAGCTGCCCAAAAAAGAAAGCAAGGCGATGTGACATTAGCATGAAAGCTTGTAAGCTCCTCGAATACAACTCCGCCACAAAGCTCAGGATCGTAGTCTGCACAGAGCACGTGTTGCTTGTGGAGGAGAGCATCTAGTCTGTCTTGTTGCCGACTACCGACTCGCCTCATACATGCTTCTGAGTGCTGCTACCGAAGGGTTGGTTGCCAGATGTTGCCAGCTACCGAGGCGGTCATGGCATGATGCTCAACTACCTTTCAGCAGCTGTGGATCACCGCACCTGGAGCATGCAGATCGGTCAGAGCGACGAGGCCCTCATACTCCGGGTTCTCGTCCATGCGCTTCTGCAAGAATTCTACCTGCGCTGGAGCAGCTTGTGAAGGATGTCAGCTGCTCGGTTGTAAAGTGTCGCGCCTGCTTCATGCAAGATGGGCACTCGCCGTCATACAGCAAGTTGATCACCCAACGGTCATCCTCCAAACAGCGCGCCGCCCCAAGCATGAAGAACTCTGAACTACCCAACCCCCGTACAAGGGACGGAAAAATAAGGCCTCATAAGGAACCCACAAGAGCTATCATGGTTTTGTTAAGGAGCTGCTTACCCTCATCCCCGTTAGAAACCCGCTCGGACTCTGCACCTTGAGGTGCTGCAGCATCGTGGAATCATCTCCCTCTCCGGCACCTTGCACCGTCAAATTGAGTTTGTTCCCAACTAGTGTCCCTTTTTTTGGGACCCCCCACTTGTAGAAGGAATGCGCATAGAGAGGTCACATGGTCTTAGCCTTTCTGGTTTGGGGGGTTGACAGCTTTCTCTCTTGACTCTTGCGCCAGGGCGCTGGTCGGTGGAGTGCTCTCTTCCGTTGCGATTTTCTCCTTCAAGTCTGAATATCTACACGCAACCCCGGGGACCCCTGAGTGATGTTGAGATGACATGGCAAAAGAAACGCGTCGGATGCTGCACGCGCTCCTGACTTTTTAGTTTCAAGCTGCTGGGCGTGCAGTTGGAGTCCGAGATATATATATTTACGTGTTAGAACAACAGCCTGTCAACTTGTGGTTCAAGCGCTGAAACCATACAGTTCGATGTGATTCGATGCGGGTGTCCTTGGCAATCCTTGCACGTGACAAACCTAAGGTGAGACAAGGTATTGCTGCGGAAGTGCACCTACCGCCGCCTACGCCTTCGTCTCTTGTGTCTCCTTCGCTCAGTGGAATAGCTTTGACTGGCCTGGGGAAACACTTGATGGGAACTTTCATTTGATGGAACTTGATTTGGGGAGCCCGCCGACGAGTCTCCGCGCTTGCGTCTTCGTGACCTGGAAAGACACACAAAGCCTCGACCATCGTAGTTCTTAGTTGTTCTTCCATGTTTTCCTGTGGAATTGATGCCAAGAGGCTTTTGCTTTCCATCCTTGCTGGCTTCAGCGTCCTCTGGCAACGGTCGGGAATCAGCTCTTAGCAGAGTTCAGCAAGTTTGTCAAAATGAATATGGCCACAAACGATTATAGCCAACTTTTTCAAGAACACGAAAGGAACATGAATTCATGAGTTCTACCCATCTGTCCTCTGCCCCGGCTTCTTTGGAAGCCGTTTCCTTCCTGGACTTGCTCTTGGAGCGCCGGGCATCACTCTTCTTTCTTGACTTACTCCGCTCCGCATCCTTCTCTTTGGCCTGCTTGCGTGTGCACAGGCATGCGCGCGTGCGTCCACATGCGTGCGTGCACCCACGACTTTATACACCTGGCAAACCCTTTGCTCGCTACCTTGCTTTTGTGCGGGTGAAAGGCAAGCCATGTCCAAGTCCCTCGGAGGTTTCCGGGGAGACTCCAGTCAGATGCTTTGTGCAAGACGGGTGAGACGGGAAAGGCTTTAACCCCCGCCACGGCTTGCTACCCCCGACCCGATGCGGCGTGCTACTTCTTGCTGCAACTTCAGACATCTCTCAAGGGCAACGTCGCGCAGGTCTTGGCCAAAGTCAACCGTTTCGTCGAATTGCCCTGACTTCACCAGCTCGTTGTCGAGCCACTCGAATGAAACGCTCTGCTCGGTCATCGCCGGCATGTGGGGCTGTGGGGCGCCTTGCCCATGATTTTGACGGTGCACTCCTGACCAGCAGGACCCAGCCCCAGGGCGGGGCGCAACGGCGCTCCGGCAAAGGAGCCTGGTCTCCAGGTCACTACAACACAATGGGGGACTTCTGCGCAAAGCTCCGGATGTTCCGCATGAAGCCGCGTCAGCTCGTCCTTGCTCATAAAAAGCATTTGGATCATGCACTCCCATGACAGCTTGGTCATGTCCACCGTGCGATCCACCTGCGGAAGCAGGGCTTTGCCGCTGCCGGCTTCAGTGGTCGCTATCTCTGTCGCAGCTGGAGGTGCCGCAGAACACCTTGCTTCGTGAAAGCGGCGAGCCACACCAAGACCGTGCAATCCAAACAAACCAACGGAACGACCGCAGCGGCGGCAGAAGGCCCTTTGACAGGGCCTCATTCTCGCTGCTACGCCCTTGGAGTCCTTATCATTGTCTTCAAATAGCTGCAGAGTCACTAGGCTGACAATCTACACGCTGTTGCGCCAGGCTCTGACCTGGAACTGCGAGTGTGCAGCAAGACGATGTGTGACTCTACCGATGCCCACATCTCAAATGCATTACGAGGCATCATGGGAGAACGCACGGTCATGGGCCATGCCCTTTGTGCTTGACGGGATGATCCATTGCGATCACTGCGCCCTCAAATCTCTTAGTTCACACGCGCTGACGCCTACTCCTGCGTGAGCAAAGGAACAAAGACACAACATGCAGCACAGGCCAGTCTCTCGCTCGCGACCTTGCTGTTGCGCGGGTGAAAGCTAACGTTCACGGGGTTCCGGAAAGACTCCTGTCAGATGTCTTGCGCAAGACGGGTGAGACTGGCAAAGGATACCCCCGACGTGCTTCTTGCTGCAACTGCAGACATCTCTCAAGGGCAACGTCGCGCAGGTCTTGGCCAAAGTCAACCATGTCGTCGAATTGCCCTGACTTCACCAGCTCGTTAAATCGCCGGCATGTGGGGCTGCGGGGCGCCTTGCCCATGATTTTGACGGTGCACTCCTGACCAGCAGGACCCAGCCCCAGGGCGGGGCGTAACGGCGCTCCGGCAAAGGAGCCTGGTCTCCAGGTCACTACAACACAATGGAGGACTTCTGCGCAAAGCTCCGGATGTTCCGCATGAAGCCGCGTCAGCTCGTCCTTGCTCATAAAAAGCATTTGGATCATGCACTCCCATGACAGCTTGGTCATGTCCACCGTGCGATCCACCTGCGGAAGCAGGGCTTTGCCGCTGCCGGCTTCAGTGGTCGCTATCTCTGTCGCAGCTGGAGGTGCCGCAGAACACCTTGCTTCGTGAAAGCGGCGAGCCATACCAAGACCGTGCAATCCAAACAAACCAACGGAACGACCGCAGCGGCCGCAGAAGGCCCTTTGACAGGGCCTCATTCTCGCTGCTACGCCCTTGGAGTCCTTATCATTATCTTCAAATAGCTGCAGAATCACAAGGCTGACAATCTACACGCTGTTGCGCCAGGCTCTGACCTGGAACTGCGAGTGTGCAGAAAGATGGTGTGTGACTCTACCAATGCCCACATCTCAAATGCATCACGAGGCGTCATGGGAGAACGCACGGTCATGGGCCATGCCCTTTGTGCTTGACGGGATGATCCATTGCGATCACTGCGCCCTCAAATCTCTTAGTTCACACGCGCTGACGCCTACTCCTGCGTGAGCAAAGGAACAAAGACACAACATGCAGCACAGGCCAGTCTCTCGCTCGCGACCTTGCTGTTGCGCGGGTGAAAGGCAAGCCATGTCCAAGTCTAACGTTCACGGGGGTTCCGGAAAGACTCCTGTCAGATGTCTTGCGCAAGACGGGTGAGACTGGCAAAGGATACCCCCGACGTGCTTCTTGCTGCAACTGCAGACATCTCTCAAGGGCAACGTCGCGCAGGTCTTGGCCAAAGTCAACCATATCGTCGAATTGCCCTGACTTCACCAGCTCGTTGTCGAGCCACTCGAATGCAACTCTCTGCTCGGTCATCGCCGGCATGTGGGGCTGTGGGGCGCCTTGCCCATGATTTTGACGGCGCACTCCTGACCAGCAGGACCCAGCCCCAGGGCGGGGCGCAACGGCGCTCCGGCAAAGGAGCCTGGTCTCCAGGTCACTACAACACAATGGAGGACTTCTGCGCAAAGCTCCGGATGTTCCGCGTGAAGCCGCGTCAGCTCGTCCTTGCTCATAAAAAGCATTTGGATCATGCACTCCCATGACAGCTTGGTCATGTCCACCGTGCGATCCACCTGCGGAAGCAGGGCTTTGCCGCTGCCGGCTTCAGTGGTCGCTATCTCTGTCGCAGCTGGAGGTGCCGCAGAACACCTTGCTTCGTGAAAGCGGCGAGCCACACCAAGACCGCGCAATCCAAACAAACCAACGGAACGACCGCAGCGGCGGCAGAAGGCCCTTGACAGGGCCTCATTCTCGCTGCTACGCCCTTGGAGTCCTTGTCATTGTCTTCAAATAGCTGCAGAATCACAAGGCTGACAACTACCAATGCCTCGACAAGCATACGAGAAACCCTTCACTGTCCAAACCCAAACTCACGCTCTCGCAGACCTCTAACGACAAACTGCTGCCGCTACTACATGGGCAAAGAAGCTAGGAACAACATGCAGCACAGGCCTTCTTGGCAGCTTTCTCTTCGGCGGTCATCTTCGATTTTGTCTTCTTGTCCTTTTTGGACTTCTTTTCTTCCTTTGGGGGGCCATTCTCGTCTTCGGCTCCTGGCGCCTCGGCACCATTAACCTGCGCGAGCGCAGGCTCTCCGAAACTCCCAAAAGCGCGGCTGGGTCAGCGCGGCCTGCGCAGCCTGCGAGCTTGCCGCTTTCGCGGCCTTATCCACCTCAAGGCGCATGTGGCATGCCCTCTGATGCCAAGAGGACGAATCATGAGTATTCATGACACATGACATCATCAACCTGAAACCCAGCAGCAGTTGTGCTTTCCACGGCAGCCTCTTCCAGTTTAGCCGCAACAGCTTCAGCGGCAGCTTTTCGGGTTTCTGCCTGCACTAAGTCCACTAGACTTGCACGAAGTTGAGGATCTCAGCCACAATGAGCTGGCAAAACTTTTCTGGCCTTGCTCTTGGCGGCCACTCTGCCTACCTTTCGTGAGGTCAAGTTCCCCAGACTGCGATCGTGAGATCGTGCTGCAAGCAGGGCCTTCCTGTCATCCTTCTTGACCTCCTTCTCGGCTTTGGCACCTTAGGTGCCCATGGCTTTCAGACACCTCCATGGCTGCAAGGCTGCTCCGAGTCTGCGACCTTTGTCCTCCAGTCACAGCGGAATCCGCTGCGGAAGAGCAACTTGGGGTTTTGGGTTCAGGGTTTAAGGTT